CACCGACTCCCACTGACGACTGCTGTTGTTGTGTCCTTGGGCAAGACACTTAACCCCACTTTGCCCAAAGCCCCCACTGGAAGATCTCAGCTCCTGTGGACTCACCACCTGCAGAGGATCAGTGAGGGGCTGGTGCTATGAGATTTGGGTGGCATCTCTGACTGCCACCCCCCTGACCCAGAAATGGATTAAAGGGTAGAAAATGGATGGATGGATGCTCGCGTTGCCTCCATTTCTTTGACCAACGCCTTTTCTTTTGATAACACTTTTTCTCTGTTAAAAACAATCTGCAAACTATCGCCGCTGCATCCTCTTCGTCCTCCATGGTTATTTTACTCTGAAGTCACGCTTGATCTCGAGAGATTTTGTGAGATTTCCGTCTGACCTGGGAATGCTCTTGGGGGAAATTGGTTTGTGTGTGATGTGTGTGGTCTGCCTGATTTTGCCATGTGGCTGCGCACCACACACTGTGCGACCAAAGTTATTTTTTTGTCTCCGTGTGAGGGGTCTCTCAGGTTAGGAAAATCGGCCGAAAATTTTAAACTCGTCTTGTGTGAACCAGGCTTTAAGTGTCTTGCCCAAGGACACAACGACAGCAGACATCAGTGGAAGTTGTGGAGAAAGTCTGATGATGGGCTCGAACCCACAACCTTTGGGCTCTAAGGCCAATGCTCTACCAACTGAGCCACTGTAATGTATGCTTTTCAAGTAAAGTAAGTAGTAGTAAGTAAGAAAGTAATCTTTATTTCTATATTAGTTTTAAAAGCGTTTTTCATAGACACAAATGTTTGCAATATTTTTTGGAGAACTGATATTTTTTCCATTCCTTCCATTCCCTCTCGGTGATGATAGAAACGAGACGCCGAACACACTGACACTTCAAAGCCTCCGACCGTCACCCTCCGCTCCACCATTCCTCATTACATTCAGCCCAATTGTACATGTTTTTAGTGATGGGGTTAAACCGGAGCACCTGGAGGAAACCGGAGCACCTGGAGGAAGCCGGCGCACCTGGAGGACACCTAGGCAGACACGGAAAGAACATGCAAACTGGAAACAGAAAGGCCGTGTCTGGAGGTGGAATCGATCCCAGGACCTTCTTGCTGTGAAGAGTGTGTGTGTAGTCTGTATGTGTGTGAATTGTCTTGTACGTTGTGAAAATGTTTTATAATTGATCAGATACAGATGTAAGATGTCAAAATTTTGTAACAAATATTTTCTAAATTTTTCCAAAAGTGTTGTAAAATAGAGCCTTTTATTGTATTGTTTTACTGTGTTTCCTTACAGTATTATACATTACAGTTGTTGCTGAGTTGTTGCCAGCGACTACTACACACAGAATGTCCAGGATTTGTCATTTGAGCTGACGTTGTGGGTGTTAGTTTTGTGAGAAATTGCCTTGACTTGACATTCCCAGAGATATCGTTGCCCTTAAAAAGTCAAACAAACGGAGAAATGTGAGCTCCTGGTTGTTTCTGGTCAAAATCCCAAATCACACCAGCTTTCTGGAGCATGTTACGCTAGCACAAGCATTTTGGACCGGGAACCTTCCACATGAGATTTCCAGAACAAACTTTCTTTGCCGTTCAATCCAGGAAGAAGAAAAATATCTTTGGACCAAACTTGGCGAGGAATGTTTTGGTGCTGACTGTTAACCACTTGTGTTTTTTTCACTCATTATCCAAATGTATGTATTTAAAGCTGCAGTTAGCAATTTTGTTAGCTTCGTCGTAGCACCAACTGGAAACCACTCCCCCCTCCCCTCCCTCTCCACCAAACCAAACATCCAGCATTTTCTTTTCTTTGTCACAACAGGGAGAGCGGGCGGCAAACGTGAAATTGGCATTTTCTGTTCAGCCATTTAAGGTTTTAGAAAATCCAATAACTCAGGTGTGCGCACTCGTGAGAAACAGGAAGAGGGTGAAGGGGGTAAACGCATCGAGTCCAATTGGTTTGTTTTTATCGGTCCACTCCAAAATATTTGTTATTAATTTGCGGAGACTAAAGGCATCTGGTTGAAAACACATGATAACTTGACTACTTTTAGGTATTAGGAACGTCTTACCATAATATAAAAAAAAAATATGTCTGAAAAAAATCACTGACTGCATCTTTGATTAACACATGGAAAAACTGTCTATTTTTGTTTCCCTTCCACAGAAGTTTAAAGGGGTCATTACGCAACATCAGGTTAATGGCCAAACAGTCGCCACATGAACATTTACATTATTCATACGCTCACTTAGCTTCAGATATGAGCCATGCTGTATAAGGGTTGACCAATCAGAGGCCTTCAGTCGTGGCGGAAACTCCAGTGTGCCTTAGCAACCGTCTTAGCAACACGTCTGCCGCGATCACGGCGCAAAGCTAACACAGCTAAACGCCCCTATAAGGAAAGCTCCAGCTAGCTTATGTTCAAATTGGCTTCTTTCGCACTTCCACTATGGAGCTGTCAGCACTTGGTCAGTCCACTCCTAATCAAAGTGAACTTCCGATCAGCCTTACACCTGCACAAAGCAATAATACCAGGTGTTAAAAAGCTATCATTGACAAAGGCTTATTGTGTTGAAGGTATTTATGGTTGATTTTTATAGCAATAAGTGTGATGAGTACGAATGGTTGGTCTACTATCACTGACTATTGCCAATTATGACTGAAATAAAACACGACAACATAGGCCAGGCATAGTTTTAGTATATGGTTCGCTAGCCCCGAGTGCTGAGGTAGAGGCAGATTTGAACATAAGCTAGCTGGCACGGTAACAGGAAAGATGTGTTGCTACGGTGGTTGCTAAGGGAAGCTGGAGTTTCCCCTGTGAATTAATGCAACTGTTTTTTTTATACGGATTTAATCTGGAGTTACACAGACAATATCAAGATAAAAACCCCAGAATCACAAAGCTCAAAGACCACAGATATTTAATTCCAAAATGGTGATTGTAGCACTTACCAGTTAATTTTTTAATCTAAGTAAATGGGAACCAGAGCGAGTTGCAGCAATACTTCATCCATGAGCACTTCCCTGTTGAGCGTCATTGAGCTTGCAGGTTGGCATTGTCTCTATATATACAGGCTATGGTTTAATCCTGTGTCTGGGTGGATTTCTTCCAGGTGCAAAAGTATACCTCGACCTATACTCCCATTACCACTCAAACTCAGAATGTGATGTCATCTGCAAAACCTTTTCTTCTGGTTTGGTGCTGTTCCAGACCAAGGTTTAATTCCAGGTTTAGTCACAATTACATATAAACACAAGAGTGATCGCAGCAAAGAGTGTGAGAAACATAAAAATCTCAACACACCAGTTGCTCATATGCATCTGGGGAGAACTTTTCACCGCTGTTCTGCTCCTAGTATTTCAACATGATTTGTATCCCCTTAGTCACTGAGCTTTACCATAAAACCTTTCCCGCTAATTCTCACCGCTATTATTTTCCCCCGACTTTTACGATCCTCTTGTGCCAAAGTCCTAGCCTGTATATCGATGGACATTGCTAACCTGCTAGCTCAATGTAGCCCAATAGGGAAGCACTCACGGACTTTTGCTCCAACTCGCTCTGGCTCCTATTGACTTACGTTGAAAAGCAGAATTCTCGAGCGAAGTCAAAGTTTCAGTGCCACATTCACCATTTTGGGATTAAAAATGCAGTGGTTTTGTGCTCTCTTTTCTGGTTTCTATATTTTGATGTTGTCTTTTTAACTCCAGATATGAGCCATATAAGATTTGACCAATCAGAGGCCTTATTTCATGGGGGGAACTCCAGCAACACCTGTGCCCCAAGCCCCGGCGGCCCAAGATGTCTGCCCATTCAAAACAATGTCCTGTGCTCTTTCAAGATCAAGAATTTATTTGCCATTTGCAGTAAAACCACACTGGAAAGACTACCCCAGTGTTGCAATATCAGTGGAAGTGACTCCTCCTCGGCCGGCTCTGGTTCTCCCGGTCTTGTCCAGTCTGTGTGCAGTGGTTTTACTTCCGCAGGTCCAGAGGGAAATGTGAGAGTTCTGACCAATCATTGCATCGGGACGAGAGAAAGTTTCTTCACAAAAATGACTTTATAGAAAACCAATGAATTTCCAATTTCCAGTTCATGATTAAGATACAGGATAATAGAACAATAACTCTGTTAAAATAATAATAATAATACATCTATAACTTTAGCATAATAAAGCACGAATAAAATACTGTATATATAAGTAGTTGGTTCCATTTTGCACATTGTGACATTTTAATTTAAAATGTTTGCACAGATGATGATGACCACCTTAAAATCCCTACAAAATCCAACCTTGGAAAAAATCTGCAGGTTCCCTGTCAGCTGAGGACGAGCCGTTTTTGTTAACATTGAGAAGTGCGGGTGGTCCAGGATCATACTAAAGACCGGCTTAAGTTAGCAAAATTTATATTACCTTATCGATACCCATCCATCCATTTTCTTCCGCTTCATCCGTTGCCGGGTCGTGGGGGCAGCAGTCTAAGCAGAGACGCCCAGACTTCCCTATCCACACACACTTCCTCCAGCTTGTCCGGGGGGACCTCAAGGCGTTCCCAGGTCAACTGAGAGACATAGTCCCTCCAGCGTGTCCTGGGTCTTCCAATACCCTGTCCTGATAATATAATACAGTTACGGTATGCCCCTGTTACAACGCTGTAGAAGAAATGCCCATATAAGGTTTCATATGTTTTAATCAGCTTCTACAGCATTAAGCCAACACTATGGTAACAACAGTCCGTGCTAATATATGGTCTATGGCTAATTCACACCGCTATTATTTCTCCCCAACATTTACGATCCTCCTTAAAAGATCACCGCCAAAGGGAGATTCAGAGGGCGAAACACGAACACGCATGATCCCTACATGTAAGGCCCTTTGAGCGTATCGCTGTAAAAACGCAGTAAAAGGCAAACTCGCTGGAAACTGGTTTTTGATGAAGCCCCCGTGTGTAAGTTGGAAACCGCATTCCCACACAGAGAGAAGAGGAGAGGGCTTTTTTGGCACATGGTCTCCTCTCCACTCCTCGAATTCATTTCCACCACCTCCAGGGAAGAAGGCGCACCCCTCCCCTACCCGCTGTGGCATCTGCGGGACATCCCCAGTCTCCTCTCTCACATATGGACCGAGTTATGGACGAGTCTGGGCCCGGCAGACCATGTGCTTTCAGTAAGAAGCCGTGGACTGGACCAAAGGAAGTGCTGGTTTTGTGGTGCTTCTGCTTCAGCAAAATTGCGCACGAGATTTTTCAATGAGCGTCTGGTTTTCCGTCAGCGCACACGAAAGGTTCAGACGGCTGCAGTTATTTCATTATTCTGACTTCCTCTGGTGTTTCTGCAAAGGGATTGTATAAGAATTTACAGGAACTGGAGGGGTTTTTTTGAAAGAAGAAGGGGCAGCTTAACTGTCAGAGGGGATATTTTAGAAAAACTGAGACCAGAGTGAGAGAGGCCAGAGCGAGAGACAAGAGAGAGACCAAAGAGAGGTCAGAGAGAGACCAGAGAGAGAACAGAGAGTGAAGAGCGAGATAGCAGCGCGAGACCAGAGAGTGAAGAGCGAGATAGCAGCGCGAGACCAGAGAGACCAGAGGGAGAACAGTGAAAGACCAGAGAGAGAACAGAGAGTGAAGAGCGAGAGAGCAGAGCGAGAGCAGAGGGAGAACAGCGAAAGACCTGAGAGAGACCAGAGAGTGAAGAGCGAGAGAGCAGAGCGAGAGAGCAGAGCGAGACCAGAGGGAGAACAGCGAAAGACCTGAGAGAGACCAGAGAGTGAAGAGCGAGAGAGCAGAGCGAGAGAGCAGAGCGAGAGAGCAGAGCGAGACCAGAGGGAGAACAGCGAAAGACCTGAGAGAGACCAGAGAGTGAAGAGCGAGAGAGCAGAGAGAGACTAGAGAGAGACCAGAGAGAGATCAGAGGGAGAATAGAGAAAGACCAGAGAGAGACCAGAGAGAGAGCAAAGGGAAACCCGAGAGAGTTTAAGGAGAGTTCAGAGAGAGACCAAATTCAGATATATAGTACATGTTTTTAGTGGGAAACCGGAGCACCCAGAGGAAACCGGAGCACACATGGTTAGAACATGCAAACTCCTCGCAGAAAGGTCTGGAGGTGGTATCAAACCCAGGCCCTTCTTGCTGTGAAGCACACGCTCTGTTTGAAGTGAGTGATGAAGTGAAGCAAGAAAATAGACGGCATTTGAATTAAGGTTAAATATGGATTTGGTTTTTGGACACATGTTGGAATAACTTTGCTTTTTAGTTAATGTTGACAAAATGGTAAACGCAAACTGTCCTGATTTTGTTTTTTCAATTTATCATACATAGTACAAAACACACACACACATATATACACACAGACGAACACACACACATTGTACACACGCATTTACAGCCACACACTCACCCGCAATTGCAGTATATAAATCTACACACACACACAGACACGCGTATACACACACACAGACACATATATATATACACACCCACGCACATACACACACACACACACAGACACACATACACACACAGGTCACAGAACTCCAAATGAAATACTTGACACATATTTCCTTCTGTGAGTTCTGAGGACACGTTGGGGCCGTGACCTTCTTTTACTTTCAGTCCAAAAATCATTTAAGATTTGATTTAATTCTTGAGTTTCCAGATGATGTGGTTTAGTAAATGACTGTATCACGTTTCCACTTTCAAACATAAACTCTAGGATCTTATCTTTCAGTACACAAGCAGAGAGCGTGTGTAATTTAGGCCTCAGACATGAGCTCCTGTACTTAAAGGAATCACCATAATCATCCAGAGTGGAGTCGACTCTGCTGCACACATGCAACACAACGCCACTGTGTGACATCACCAGAGGGTTAGCCTTAAGGCGGAAGAAGCGGAAGAAGCTGATTTGAACATGAGCGAGCTGGAGCCAATTGCCTTATATAGGTATTTGTTCAGACGGTGTATTTGTTCCAACAGTGTTTTTTCTGCAAATGAAGGCATCTGATTGGTCAATCCTTATATGGCTCAGATCTTCATATACAAAGACAATAGATAACAATAAAAAAGGATCAGAGAGCATGTATCGTGAACCCAAAATGATGAGTGTGACACAAACGATTACTGAGCTTGAGGAGTTTACTTTTCAATGGAAGTCAATCGGTGTCATGAGGTGATGAATGAGGACCCAAAAATGCAGGAATTCAGAATAATGGTTTAATAAATATGATAACGTAAATGTCCATGGTATGAACAAACTCAAAATTCAAACAAAACTCAGGAACCAGGATTACAAACTGACAAAGACAATTAACGACAATGGACCAGCAACAAGGGGAGGAGCAGCAGAGGCACATAGACACAGAAAGACACAGGTGAAATACATTAGGGCGGGGCAGAGAATCAAGACAGAGGAAGAAGACAGGAAGTACAACTAAAATCAAAACACAGAAAAAACTCAAAATAAAACCAAAGTACAAAAATAATTTCACACCATGACAATTGGAGCCAGAGTGAGTTGGTGTAAAACTTTGTCTCTACTGGGCTTCATTGTGTCATGGTTTGTATTTTTGTTATTATGGTACTTATATTTTAAAATGAGTTCTCCTGTGGTTTTGTTTTTAGTTTTACTTTTGGTTCCATTGTGTTGATTGTCTGCCCTGCCCTGATGTGTTTCATTCGAATGCTGGACCTACTGCGCATGTTTTTAATGGTGGAGGAAGCTGGAGCACCCGGAGGAAACCTACACAGACAGGGGTAGATCTTAACTCTTAAAGGGGCAGTCTTAACTCTCTGGGGCAGTTTTACCATCAGAGACAGACCAGAGAGACCAGAGAGACCAGAGAAAGACCAGAGACAGACCAGAGAGACCAGAGACAGACCAGAGATAGACCAGAGACAGACCAGAGATAGACCAGAGACAGACCAGAGACCGACCAGAGACAGACCGGAGACAGACCAGACAGATCAGAGACAGACCAGAGAGACCAGAGAAAGACCAGAGGCAGACCAGAGACAGACCAGAGACAGACCAGAGACAGACCAGAGACAGACCAGAGACCGACCAGAGACCGACCAGAGACCGACCAGAGACCGACCAGAGACAGACCAGAAGGACCAGAGATATTGAAGCCTCCATCCGATCTCTATCTCATTACATTCAGACCTATTGTAAATGTTTTTAGTGGTAGAGAAAAACGCATCACTGAGAAGAAATATACACAGACACTGGGAGAACATGCAAACTCCAGACAGAAAGGTCCTGTCTGGAGGTGGACTCGAACCCAGGACCTTCAACCGCTAACTTCCAAAACAGATTTTTTCTAACCACAATTTCTCTATATCAGTTCTTTGTTATTTATATTTTCACTACATCCCGTAAACGTGGGGCGCCTCACGTTTTTGCTTCATAAATAAGTTGGCCCGACAGGAAGAAATAAAAAACGGTGAAAATAAAACAAAAGTCAAAGTAAACATTTCCACTGCATGTCTATAGCAACCCACGCAAAACCCACAATCTCAGCGTTTGTGGACCCAAATGGACCTTTCTTTTCCCACATTTCTAAACAGATATGTATCAATGTCATAATGTTTGACTCCAGCTTCACTTTCTTTCTTTTGTTAAGTACAGAAGTGATGAAACCTGTCTGTATCGTATTCAGCGCTGGCTCCGTTTGGCTCGCCTGATTGGCTGTTGTCCCCTCTCCGCAGCCTCTTCATTAGTTCTAAGTGGTCTCTGGTTGATTACAGGCCTGGCCGCTGCTAAATATTTATGGCGTTCGTAGACAAAAGGTTAACTGGATGAAAAACAAAGGCAGCCCAGACCTTCATAGGAAAGTCGTAGCCATAAAAAAAAACAAAAAAAACATCCAAATTAGCCCTGCTTCCTGTTTTGATTGAAGCTAAGATCTACCTTGAGCAAAACATGTAATTACCTCCAGACTTTTAAGATGAGAGGATGAGTCGTGATGGAGAAGCAGCTACAGATGTGGTGGCTTGGAGGAGTCGGGTTGAGAGGCATTAGGAGACAGTGCGGGTTTTTTTATTTATCGCAGACTTTCTAGCATTTTATACAGTATTTGCAAGTAAGATATACCGACATTTTGTACAGGGGTATCGTTAGCTTTCGGATAGAACAGGTAGAAAGCCAAATGCAGTTTCAACATAGACTTAAATTATGAATGATCTTGTATTTTTTCTGATTTTTTGTATCAGAATTTTGAACAACTGAACTTTTGCAGGTTTGTAATTTGTGAGAGACCCAGGCATAAGACAAAAAAGTGGTTCTACACTACAAAAAGTGACAAAAAATAGTTCCAAGATTGTTTCAATAAGGCTAATTTGATCTTGAATTGAAAACTGAACTTCTCTGGTGTCACCTGAGAATTCTGTTGTAAACAAAAAGGCACAAGAGCCAGAGAAGATAAGATAAAATGTGTTGACCTCACAAAGAAGGAAAGCCTAAGCATAACCATGACCCAAACTGTGATCTGATTTTTTTATTTAAACATGTTTTTTCAAGAGTCACAAATACAGTAGGCGCTTTAATAAAATAAAAATACAGAAAAAGTGAGAAACCCAGAGGAGGCCCACATTGTAGATCGAGGACTCTGGCCTAAAACAAAGCCTTGTGGTCTGTGCATCAAAGCCACAATCATGCATTTGGATCTGAGTTTACCATGATGTATGTAATGCGCCCGAGTGAGTCGCAAGCATTTAGCATTTAGCCTAGTGAAGAGAATCAGCCAATGTCTGGGATTGCATCTTTAATTCAGACAGAAGACATGTTTTATTGTCGATGGTAGAGACAGCACGAACAAAGCACACGAACAAAGGATGCAACAAAGTGTTAGTGATAATATAGCATGGGAGAATGAAGTCCTCCAATCAGCAGCTGCCACGGTGCCATGTAGCTTGGCCTTCAGAAGTCAAAACAAGGGAAAAGTACTGGCTCGTGCAAATGTAATAAGCATGAGTTTGAACTTTAACAATAGTTGCTTCAAAGTGTTATGAAATCTCACACTAGCTTTAGCATTTAGCCCAGCTTTAGCCATCTCCTTTGCCACTAACGGAGCCCGAGGGGAGAAGAGCCACAACATCTTTGGCAGCGATGATGTTTGCTAAACATTCCTCTTGCTCCGGCTTCAATTTTTTTAATATTTGGAGCCGAACCAGAACGGATTGAAGAGCTTTCTTTACTATCGCATTCTTCGTCATTGCCAAACTACAACCACCAAATTCAGCGCAAACTCTTGACGTCACTGACACCTGCCTACAACACCCGCCTTCCCCACTCGCTGTTTGGTCTGAGGGGATTTAACCGAGGAAACTGCAGCCATTAGGATCAGACCCAGACGCAGGTCCATTATTATTCCCTATATGCAGGGAATAATAATGGACCAGAGTTCACGAATGGATAAGACCAGGCGAGGTGTGACTGTAATGTATGGGTGAATAGATGGCAATGGTCTGAGGCTTCTTTGGAGTCAACAGGAATTACTGACACACCACAATCGTATAAAGTGCTTTGTGCGACCTTGGTCTGTGAATTGCGCCACTTAAATACAGACAACTTACTTACTTCATATGGCGTGATTGTTACTGTTTTTACAGTTGGACGACTATCACGGCAGAAATCAGCTTGGACAAAGAATAAAACTCTACCTTCACCAACAGCCCAACCCAGACCAGGGCTCCGGTCCAAGCTCGCCCATTCCAATCCAACATTCCATCTCTCTGATCCCCGTCCCAGACCAACACAGGACCCACCCCAAAACCCTCCCTCCCTCCTGCCTCCTCCCCAGGGGTCGTAACACGGAGCTGCCCTTGGAACGGCCGAGAGGATGGCACCAGAAGAAACAATAGCCTGAGAGCGAGCAGGAAAACTGGCCCCGGCTCTGAACTATGAAGGAAAACCACAAGACTTTTCCACAGTCTTAAGGAGCGCTGACTGAATGGACTGGGGGTGGTCTACACGGTGTTTAGTACAGTTTGCGTAAAGGAAATAAGTGGAGAAATATGTGAAATTCTGTGAAAATGTCCTCGAGTGATCTTTAACTACTTCCTCGATAGCTCTATTAAACAAATGCAGCTCTGATTGGTCTGCGTTTGGAGTCGTTAGCTACCACCATCATGTTTTAATGTGGGTGCTAACAGGCCATGGCATTGGAATTTAAAACTGGGACATAAGATTCTGTAATCTAGTGTTCCCCAAACTTTTTGAGCCGTGGCACACCTTTGTCATTGCGAAAAAGGAAATGGCACACCACCAACTACATTTGTTAAAACATTAAACTCCACAGCCTTTATCAACAAAGCAAAATCATTCTCATCAATGTGTATTATATCGCAAATCAAACAAGCACAAAAAAATCTGTCTTGTCATCTCACATTATCTCCTTTTACACAAACTCATTCGCTGACAGACGCACACACATATACACAATAATAGTGTGGCTTTGATCATTTCCAAGGCACACTAATAAACATCTAAAGTCACACCCACATACCACTAGCCTGACTCTCGCCAGACCCTTGTAGTTCCGCCATGCTCCACCAGAGGCGTTTCGCTGAACCCAGATCCCAGAAAGGGTCTGGGATTGATGCCTGTCACTCCCGTATTCGTCCCGGAAACCGGATTCGTCCAGAAGTTCAGTTTGCGCATGTCAAAAAGTGTAATAAGTCCTTGAGTGGTGACTCTACTGCTGCGCATGCTCGTTGGATCAAACTGAACTTCCGGACGAATTCGGTTTCCGGGACGAATACGGGAGTGACACTGCTGAATGCAAACTCCTTCGGGAGATCAAAACATAATCGGCCAATCAGGATTGCCAGTGTAACTTCGGGTTTGCACCGCCTTCTCGTGCGTGTCTCACATGGCAGCGAAAGCAATCCAAGATGACGGACATAAACAAGTAAGTTTAAGTTTAAATATGAACGAATTAAGACACGGATGTCACTTTTAATGCAATATCAGGCGAGATGTTGGTGGTTCCATGTTGTTATATGTGTATTTTAAGAGTCAAATGTTCGTGTACAGTGTGGTTTAAGCACTGCTTAAGTGTTCCTGTTTACAACAATACGCAGCAGGGTTGGGTGGTTTTAGTTTTTTCCAAGCGACTCGTAGGTAATAAATAAACAGAAAGACAATAAACAGAATCATGATAGCCCAAGTTGATTACATTATGTTTTTAGCCAAAAAATCGATCTGGGTGTAATTTTTTTTTGGGGGGGGCATTCTCTCAGGTTTTGGGCTGGAAAATTTGGCCACCCATGGGAGCCGTGTGCTGAATCGGCTGGATTGTGTGCTTCAATGTGAGTGGTTGAAGGTAAGTAGTAAGTAAGTAATCTTTATTTATACAGTATACAGCCTTTTCACTGCAGATCTGAGTCTCAAAGCGGTTTACAATAGTTAATTTTGGGCATTTGTCTCTCACTCCACACAGAGATGGGAGCGGGGTCGCCAGTACAGGAGGGGCATGCCTGAACTATTGGACATATTTTTAGTGGTAGGGGAAACTGGAGTACCCGGAGGAAACCTACGCAGGCACAGGGAGAACATGCAAACTCCACTCAGAAAGGCCCTGGTCCAACCGGGATTTGAACCCAGGACCTTCTTGCTGAGAGGCGAGAGTGCTATCCACTAAGCCACCGTGCCGCCCACGGAACCGCCCAAGGAACACGTCATTCAAGATAATCAAATCAAATCAAATCAAATTTTATTTATAAAGCGCTTTTCTGACACACTCTCTGACACACACACACACAAACACACACACACACACACACAAGTAAAACAATGATGAGAGACTTGGCAGGGTTCAGATGCAACCAGCTGAAAAAGCGTCATCCAAGGAGCCGTCTGCACCAGGAGCAGAGAGCCGCCTGTAGCCACAGGGGACGACACAGGATCTAGAAGAGACCCGAAACCGAGGCCCCAGGCCCCCACCAGGTCCAAGAGTCCGACCCCCACAGCCATGCCGACCACCGCTCCCAGTGCAGAGGGCTCCTCCAGAGGAAACACTGGGTACACTAAAAACAATACAATAACAATACAATATGTAAAACACAAAAATGTGAAACTAAAATGAACTAACACACAATACATGAATAAAAGCAATAGCAATACAATAAATAATAGAAGATATAAAATGAAATAGTAAAAACTAATCAAAAGCTAATCTAAAAAGGTGTGTCTTGAGCCTGCTTTTAAAAATATGAACGTTCTATACGGCCCTGAGCTCCTCCGGCAGACTGTTCCAGAGACGGGGGCCGTAGTGCTGGAAAGCTGCCTCACCGTGAGTGTGTGTCCTGACTTTGGGGATGGTTAGGAGTCTGCTGCCGGAGGAGCGCAGGGGCCGGGAAGGCTCATAGGATAAAAGCAAATCTGAAAGATAAGAAGGCCCAAGACCATTAAGACATTTAAAAACCATTAAAAGAACCTTAAAATCGATCCTGAAACACACGGGGAGCCAATGCAGCGATTTTAAAACCGGTGTAATGTGGTCCCGCCCCCTGGTCTTAGTCAGGACACGTGCGGCCGAGTTTTGGAGTAATTGTAAACCTGAAATGTTCTTTTTGGGAAGACCAGAGAGCAGGGCATTACAGTAGTCAATGCGACTGGTGATAAAAGCATGCATCAGCGTCTCCGTGTTGCCCCGAGAGAGAATGGGGCGGACTCTGGCGATGTTCTTTAGATGATAAAAACCTATTTTTGTGATGTTCTTGATGTGAGGAATAAAAGTCAGCTCAGAGTCAAAGATTACGCCCAGGTTTCTCACTTGTGATGATGGATTAAAAGAGTGTGATTGGAGTTTTGATAAAAGTTTCTCTCTCTGGGCCTCAGGACCGATGACTAAAACCTCAGTTTTGTCCTGGTTGAGCTGGAGAAAGTTTTCTGCCATCCAGGATTTCAGGTCTAAAATGCTGTTAAAAAGAGCATCCATTGGCCTGGTGTCGTCAGGAGACATGGAGATGTACAGCTGTGTATCATCTGCATAACTGTGGAAGTTAATTCCATGTCTCCTGACGACACCGCCAAGAGGGAGCATGTACACGTTAAAAAGGACTGGACCTAAAATGGAACCCTGGGGCACACCACATGTGATTTTATGGACCTGAGAGGAGCAGGTATCCAAACTTACCATGAAGGATCTGTCTGTTAAATAAGAAGTGAACCATTTGTGGACAGCACCAGAGAGGTCGAGGTGTTTCAGGCGGGATAAAAGAATGGTGTGGTCTACTGTATCAAAGGCAGCGCTTAGATCCAGTAGAACCAACACGGTCACCTTTTTAGAATCATAACTTAGTCTAAAATCATTTAAAATCTTTAAAAGAGCAGTCTCTGTGCTGTGGTTCACCCTAAAACCTGATTGAAATTTCTCTAAAATGTGTTGCTGATCTAAAAAGGCATTGAGCTGGGTAAAAACAAGTTTTTCTAAAATTTTGCTTAAAAATGGCAGGTTGGATACCGGTCTGTAGTTGTTAAAATCATTAAAATCTAAATTGCTCTTCTTCAGAAGGGGTCTCACCACAGCCGCTTTGAAGGCTGCAGGAAAGACTCCAGTCTGAAGAGAGCAATTCATCAGGTTTAAAAGCTCCTCTCTAAAAGATTCATAAATAAAATGGGGACTGGATCTAAAAGACATGTAAAAGACAGCATTTCAGCATCAACCAGGACAAAACTGTCCAGTGTTTCCTCTGGTGAAGACAAACAATCAGATGTGTTAAAAACAGTTGTGCGGTTGGATAAAATGTTACATCTGATTGTGTTTATCTTCCCCGTGAAGTGGACTGCAAAATCCTCACAGAGGGAGTCTGTGGGGGTTAAAAGAGACATGCTAAAATCAGGGTTTAAAATGGTGTCGATGGTTGAAAATAGGACCTTTGGGTTATTTTTATTTTGGGTGATTAGCTTTGCAAAGTATTTGTTCTTATGATTTCTAATTGTGTTATTGTATGCTTTTTGATTGCTTTTATATAGTTCGTAGTTGATTGTTATTTTATCTTTCCTCCACCTTCGTTCTGCCGCCCTGCACTCTCGTTTCATTTTCCGTACTTCCTCATTTCTCCATGGGGGTACAGATTTTGTTTTTATGATTTTTGTTTTTAAAGGAGCGACTTGATCCAATGCAGAACTAAGTCTACTGTTAAAATCATTTGCTATAAAATCACAGGGGGCAGGTAAAACCAAGTGGGGAGTGTTGTTGAAGATAACAGACAAGTGTTTTATCCAATCACATACAAGGATTTTTTTTACAAGGCCCCGCCCTCTGAAATGTATCCGCTATGAAGCAGACCCAGACCCATGTGTGAAGCTCAGCAAACTACAAGGGTCTGGCGAGAGTCAGACAAACATGCCACACTGGTTGAAAAACACTGCTCTAGTCCATGGGTGTCAAAGTCAAGTAGTATATAGTATTACTAATCTAGCATAACTAATCTGCACTACAGAAGCTCAAAATTGCATATAATGATGCTTTCAGGATTCTGCTGAAAAAGCCCAGGTCCAGTAGTGCTAGTCTGCTGTTCTGTCAGAGTCGTGTGAACTCTTTCCATGCTCTCATGAGAAATACGATGTACAGGTTTATATGCCATCTGAATGTCAGTTAGAACTACAGTATTTTGTGCGGTCTCTGGTGAACCCCAGTATGAGTTCTGTGCGCTACCAGTCAGCTCTGTGGAAGCTCTGGTACAGTTTTCTTTTATAACTGTTTGTGTTTGTGATGTGTTTGTTTGTTTTTTATGGACTTCGAGTCTGATAAATAAAGATAATATATAATATATAATCCATCAACGTTTTTAAATAGTGCTCACGCTACTTCATTTTGATTAACATTGTATTTACCACAACTTACCAGTGATTTGACAGAGCAATAAATCTCCAAATTGAGGGTAGAACACCATTTCCCCGAAAATGGGAGGTCTGCATGCTTTCTGTGAGAGTTGACAGTGAGAGGAGAGCGGTTTGTGAGTTGGTCAATGCCCAAACCGAGGAGCTGAACGTTTTCCATTTTGATGTTATCCAAAAGGTCATAATGTTTGGCCAAGTTAACCTCAGTCACCATGCATTTGTCCCCAGTGTTTATGTGGACGCTAGAAACACAACGGCCTGTTGATTGTTCAAAACGGATCTACAAAACAAATCGTCTAGGCATATATTTTGTTTGGAAGTCCTTTTGCTTTGTTAACTTGGAGATCAGATACATGAGACAATAAATAAGGCCCGTAGACAGTGTATAGATGGACAATGCTAGTCCTCTACCTCATTGAAGCCCAATTGGGAAGGGTTCATGGAGGAAGTTTGCTCCAACCTGCTCATGGCTCCAATTGACTTACATTGAAAAGTAAAGTCCTTTAGCACAGTTACCATTTTCTATATTGTCAGATATGAGCCATGTAAAGACCAACTGGTTGACTTCATTTGTGGGGGAAACTCAAGCTTGCCTTAGCAATGCGTCTGCCCCAAACACAGCGTGAAGCTAACCCTGTCAGAACAAATGCCCATGAAAGGAAATTGGCTCCAGGTTTCCATGTTCAACCTGGCTTCTACCACATTAAGGCTATCACTATGATTTCAATCTGGAGAGACTTCAGAAGACAAAATGCATTTTGAATGTTTTTATTGAAAGGTGGTTTGGCGCCCTAGGCCCCGGTGCGGTGTTTAGTCAGCGAGGCTCCTGCGTGAGTGCGCGCACAATCCCCCCGGGACCTAGGCACTGGTGGTGGCATTCGGGCAGCAGGAAAGAAGCATGCTTGAGGCAGGGTGAGAAAAGGAGGTGGGAGTTTCTCCACTTTTAAGTTGCTGGCTTGACCAGCATAAGTTGGCTGGAAATGGGCGTTTGCTGTGCGATAGGCTGAGGATGCAAGGCCGGCCTTGAAGGGGGTGGCTTTAGCCGTCAGTCTTCCAGAGTAGAATTTCCGCGAGGCTGCATTTGACCCCTCCTCTGCAGACTTGAACATCTTTCTCACTCCGTGTTAACAGCAGAAACATTCTGCAGTATCCATTACTGCAGTATACATTTTTGTCCTTTCATGGTTTAGAATATGAAAAAAGTAGAAACTAAACATTTACTGTATGTGTGGTGATGCTTTCTGCCTGAGGGAGGAGTTACGCATGAGAAATGTCCAAAAGTAATTGGCAAATGAAACTGGTGGAAATCAAACCCAATGATTATTTATGATTTTAATGCTTTCTTATTTTGTTCAGCACTTTGAATTGCCTTGTGTATGAATTGTGCTATATAAATAAACTTGCCTTGCCTTGCCTATTTTTTTTTTTTTTTTGCAATTATATAAAATTGCAAAATACTATTGATTTTAAGGAAACTCAATCAAAATGACTGCTCTGAGGATTTCAGTTCAATAGTTTCTGGGTAATTCTGGGAGTCCTAGTGTTAATAGTTTAGTAAAGTTCATCTTGTCTTCTGTGTAGAATAAGGTTAAATTCGGTTCTTCTATATGTAAGTAAATTACTTTGCTCTCTTACAATCGTCTGGTGTAGAAGAAAACAAATAATCCTCCTGCCAATGTTAATGTTAGTTCTGCTGCAGAGAGTTCCAAAGTTGCATGTTTTGAGACCAACAGGTGATATTCATTCGTTCATGTAAAGTGCAGAGTCTTCAGACAGGGTGTGGCGTAGCGTTGTCTACAAAGAGCAATGAAAGATAAGCCCAGATCCACTCATCGCAGATTAATGACACTGTAAACTTGAACAAAACGCATCTAAAGCAAAAAACAAGCATGACGTCTCCTGTTCCTTAATCCTGGGTGCGATTACTGCAGCTTCTCCTTACCACGACTCAGGAAGAAAAAAAAAAAACTCCCTCCCTTTCCCCAGAGATCAAACCAGGACTATTGTTAAGGAGGTTAGTCATGTGACCTTCCTCACCACAAGCCACGCCCACTAAAGACATCGCCATCAAAGTATAGTTTCCAGACGAAATACCAGCACTCTTCAGGGAGTTCCCAACAGTGCTAACCTGCTGGCTCAGTGAAACCCAATAGGGAAGTGCTCATGGTTGAAGTTTTGCTCCAACTCGCTCTGGCTCTTTACAATTGAAAGTAAACTCATCCAGCTCAGTAACTGTCACACTTATAATTTTTTGGCTCACAGCTGCCATACTGCCATCCATCCATCCATTTTCTTCCGCTTTATCCGTTGCCGGGTCGCGGGGGCAGCAGTCTAAGCAGAGACGCCCAGACTTCCCTATCCACACACACTTCCTCCAGCTCGTCCGGGGGGACCCCAAGGCGTTCCCAGGCCAGCTGAGAGACATAGTCCCTCTAGCGTGTCCTGGGTCTTCCCTGGGGCCTCCTCCCGGTGGGACGTGCCCGGAACACCTCCCCAGGAAGGCGTCCAGGAGGCATCCTGAACAGATGCCCGAGCCACCTCAACTGGTTCCTCTCGACGTGGAGAAGCAGCGGCTCTACTCCGAGCTCCCGTGTGACCGAGCTCCTCACCCTAGCTCTAAGGGAGCGCCCAGCCACTCTGCGGAGGAAGCTCATTTCGACCGCTTGTATCCGCGATCTCGTTCTTTCGGTCATTACCCACAGCTCATGACCATAGGTGAAGGAGGGAACGAAGATTGACCGGTAAATCGAGAGCTTCGCCTTTCGGCTCAGTTCCCTCTTTACCACAACGGTCCGATACAGAGACCGCATCACTGCGCACGCTGCACCGATCCGCCTGTCAATCTCACGCTCCATCCTTCCCTCACTCGTGAACAAGACCCCGAGATACTTGAACTCCTCCACTTGAGGAAGGACCTCTCCACCCACCTGGAGAGGGCAAGGCACCTTTTTCCGGTCGAGCACCATGGCCTCGGATTTGGAGGTGCTGATTCTCATCCCAGCCACTTCACACTCGGCTGCAAACCGTCCCAGTGCATGTTGCAGGTCCTGGTTCGTTGGAGCCAGCAGGACGACATCATCCGCAAAAAGTAGAGATGAAATCCTGTGGTCCCCGAACCGGTCCCCGAACCGGACCCCCTCCGGCCCCTGGCTGCGCCTAGAAATTCTGTCCATAAATAAAGTGAACAGAACCGGTGACAAATGGCAGCCTTGGTGGAGGCCAACATGCACCGGGAACAGGTCTGACTTACTGCCGGCAATGCGAACACAGCTCTGACTCCGGTCATACAGGGACCGGATGGCCCTCAGCAGAGGACCCCGGACCCCGTACTCCTGGAGGACCCCCCAAAGGACACCCCGGGGAACACGGTCGAACGCCTTCTCCAAATCCACAAAGCACATGTGGACAGGTTGGGCGAACTCCCATGAACCCTCAAGTATCTGATGGAGGGTATAGAGCTGGTCCAGTGTTCCGCGACCGGGACGAAAACCACACTGCTCCTCCTGAATCCGAGATTCGACCATCGGACGTAGCCTCCTCTCCAGTACCTTGGAGTAGACCTTACCGGGGAGGCTGAGGAGTGTGATCCCACGATAATTGGAACACACCCTCCGGTCTCCCTTCTTGTAGAGAGGGACCACCACCCCGGTCTGCCACTCCATTGGCACCGCCCCCAATCGCCACGCGATGTTGCAGAGACGTGTCAGCCAAGACAGTCCTACAACATCCAGAGACTTTAGATAGTCAGGACGGATCTCATCCACTCCCGGCGCCTTGCCACCATGGAGGCTGCCAACCACCTTGGTGACCTCGGCCAGGGAGATGGAAGTATCCGCCCCAACATCCTCAGCCTCTGCCTCCTGGACGGAGGACGTGACGGGGGGATTGAGGAGAACCTCGAAGTATTCCTTCCACCGTCCGACAATATCCCCAGTCCAGGTCAGCAGCCCTCCACCCGCACCATACACGGTGTTGGCAAAGAACTGCTTCCCCTTCCTGAGGCGCCGGACGGTTTGCCAGAACCTCTTAGAGGCCGACCGATAGTCATGCTCCATGGACTCTCCGAACTCCTCCCAGTCCCGGGTTTTTGCCTCTACAACAGCCCGGGCCGCGGCATGCTTGCCCTGCCGGTACTGGACAGCTGCCTCCGGAGTCCCACGAACCATCATTGCTCGATAGGACTCCTTCTTCAGCCTGACGGCATCCCTTACTGCCGGTGTCCACCACCGGGTTCGGGGATTGCCGCCGGGACCAGCACCAGAGACCTTGCGACCACAGCTACGAGCCGCCGCATTGGCGATAGAGGAAGAGAACATGGTCCACTCGGACTCGATGTCCCCCTCCTCTGCCGGGACCTGGGAGACGCTCTCCCGGAGGTGTGAGTTGAAAGTCCGTCTGACAGGGGGCTCAGCGAGACGTTCCCAGCAAACCCTCACTAAACGCTTGGGCCTGCCAGGTCTGACCGGCCTCCTGCCCTGCCAGCGGATCCAACTCACGACCAGGTGATGATCGGTTGACAGCTCCGCCCCTCTCTTCACCCGAGTGTCAGGTCAGATGATACGACAACAAAGTCGATCATTGACCTCCGGCCTAGGGTGTCCTGGTGCCACGTGCACTGGTGGACACCCTTGTGCTCGAACATGGTGTTCGTGATGGACAAACTGTGACTGGCACAGAAGTCCAACAACTGAACACCGCTCAGGTTCAGATCAGGGGGGCCGTTCTTCCCGATCACCCCTCTCCAAGTGTCACTGGCGTTTCCCACATGGGCGTTGAAGTCCCCCAGGAGAATAACGGAGTCCCCGGGCGGTGCACCGTCCAGTACCCCTCCCAAGGACTCCAAGAAGGCCGGGTACTCTGCACTGCTGTTAGGCCCGTAGGCCGTCACAACAATGAGAGACTTGTCCCCCACCCGGAGGCGGAGGGACGCGACCCTCTCATTCACCGGGGAGAACTCCAACACGTGGCGGCTGAGATGGGGGGCAATGAGAATGGCCACCCCAGCTCGCCGCCTCTCCCCGCGGGAAACTCCAGAAAAGTGGAGCGTCCAACCCCTCTCAAGGAGTTGGGTTCCAGAGCCCAAGCTGTGTGTGGAGGTGAGGCCGACTATCTCTAGTCGGTATCGCTCAACCTCCCCCACAAGCTCGGGCTCCTTCCCCCCCAGTGAGGTGACGTTCCACGTCCCAAGAGCCAGATGTTGGGTGTGTGGACTGGGTCGTCGAGGTCTCCGCCTTCGACTGCTGCCCAGTCCTCGCTGCACCTCGCCACCACGGACCCCTCTGCAGGTGGTGGGCCCACAGGAGGGACTGCCCACGTCATCCCTTCGGGCTGAGCCCGGCCGGGCCCTGTGGGCTAAGGCCCGGCCACCAGGCGCTCGCTTGCGAGCCCCGACCCCAGGCCTGGCTCCAGGGTGGAGCCCCGGCTGCACCATGGCGGGCGACGTCACCGTTCTAGTAATAGTGCTGTCCATGGTTGGCTTCGGACTGCGCTTTGTCTGATTCGTCACTTGAGACCTGTCTGCCATGGGAGACCCTACCAGGGGCATGAAGCCCCAGACAGCATAGCTCCCAGGATCATCCGAGTGCTCAAACTCCCCCACCACGTTAAGGTGGCAGTCCAAGGGGGAGTGGCAGTCCAAGGGCCATACTGCCTTGTATATTAAATCACTTAAACATTGTCAGAAAGAAGCAATACACATCAATCAATAAATTTTTTATTGCATTTAAAACTATGGTAAAATACAGGATTTGCTGGGCTAAGTAGCTACTTCTATCAAGTTCTTTTAACTCGGCGGTATACAGTATATAGCTGCCAATGTACAGTATGTATACCCGGCAAAATAAATCTCCAACATAACATTCCTCCTGATGTTTAAACACATTTATCATCATTTGAGAAGGATTCTGGTGTGTGTGTGTGAATGGTTGGTGGTGGTTAGCTGGGACGACGACATAGACTGGTTTCCTCGCTTCTGTCAGTGTGCCCCAGGGCAGTGGTGGCTATAGTAGTAGTTTATCACCACCGTGTATGGAGTGAATGAATATTGACATGTGAAGCGTGTTGAGTGTCCAAACAAAACCTTCATGATCGTTGGTCATCCTGCTTATAGCATTTCCTTTTTTTTGTTCATTGTGAAAAAATAGACAATGCAATACAAGTGCAGACACACAGACAAATACAACAAGACAGACAACAGTGTGGATATTTACAAGTGGGTGTGTGTACAGTGGTGTGTGTGCGTGTGTGTGTGTGTGTGTGTGTGTGTGTGTGTGTGCATGTGTGTGTGTACTGTGGTGCGTGGGTGTGTATGGGTGCAAGCTCCTATTTTTACAAATTTGTGCATCCACCCATCACCCTCATTGGGCAGCACGGTGGCTGAGTTGATAGCACTCTCGCCTCTCAGCAAGAAGGTCCTGGGTTCGAATCCCGGTTGGACCAGGGCCTTTCTGAGTGGAGTTTGCATGTTCTCCCCGTATCTGCGTAGGTTTCCTCCGGGTACTCCGGTTTCCCCTGCCACTAAAAACCTGTACAATAGGTCTGGCATGCGCCTCCTGCACTGGCGACCCCGCTCCCATCTCTGTGTAGAGTGAGAGACTAAAGCCCAAAAATAACAATTAACCGCTTTGAGACTCAGAACTGCAGTGAAAAGGCGGTATATAAATAATGATTACTTACCTCATTGCCCCTATTTTCCCTTCTTATTTCTGTTCCAGTTTGCTACTGTTGGGATTTCTTAGGAAAGTGAATGCAATATGCTTCCGTTACAACTTTACCTTGTCTATCCTTCTTATAACCTCTTGTCCTCTTTAGCCCTTTGTATGGGACTAAAAACACAGATAATATCAAAGTTATTACAAATTACCCCATGCAGGTCCTTATGTAAAACTAATCTGGTCACAACTCTCATCGCTGCATCCTCCTCTAACTATTCGTCGAACCATCTTAGCTTTCTTGACTAATTTCTCTCAGCTCCTCTGCTCTCCAACTTTACCTGTTATCAGTACTACTGCATTATTACATATCTGATATATATGCCTTTCACCAGTCACTTTACCTGTTGATATTTTACTGTATTATTCATATCCATCTGATAATTCTCCCATTCAAGTCACTTTACCTGTTGATATTATTTCAGATGTTTATTCTGCTCATATTCATATTCTCCGCGGCTAATGTATAATATAGACATCTGTAAATACTCTGAACCAAGTGCAATTTTGTTGGGATTAATGTGTGGAGTGAGTTGGACCAAGAGGTAAAAGACTGTAAAACCTTAATTCAATTTAAAATTCTTTTGAAGAAATCAATTATAAAAAAATACATTGAGAATGGACGCTAAGGATGCAAACTTAAGATGATAGATTGTTTTTCTTTCTTCTTTGTGACGATCTAAAAACAAAAATTGTATAACTACTTGCATAAGACATTGGCAGCTTTACTGTTTATGTTTTGTAAATACTCTGGGATAGGCGCAATAAGCTTTAGCTTCTGCCTATTTCATTTCAGACTTTATGTTTATTTATCATCTGTTTGGCATCTGTTGAATGTTTGAATGTCTGAATAAAAAATAATCTGAATCTGAATCAATTATAGCCCAGAGTTCATCTAATTTTATTTTATTCTTATTTTAATTTTATTGTCTATTATCTTAAATAATAGACTATTTGATGTGTGCAATCTGAGTGCTCTTATCTCCTTTCTCTGCTGTAATGTGCGCAACGATGACACTGAAATTTCTCCACTGTGAGACTAATAAAGGTTTATCTTATCTTATCTTATCAAACAACCTCATCATAAAATTAGACACTTAATAATCAAACACAACCCTAAAAACACAATGACACAAACACAGGAAAAATGCAGCGACAACAGCAGCAGTAAATCTCCCAGCAGGCCTCGCTCCCTGTGGCGTGGAGCTTCAGGCTGGATCGGGACGGGGTTTTGGGGGACCTCACAGTAAACGCCGGTCCAACCCTGGTAGCACTGACAGCTAAACTTATGCTTCATGTCCAGGATGTCACGGTGGTCGAGGTGGCCCCTGACGGTGAAGAGCGGGCCCCTTGTTGGCGAGGGGTTGCGGTAGATCCGGAAGAAGCGAGGGTTCAGGTGCAGGTAGGAGGGCGTGTCCAGACTTTTGCGTACGCAGCGGCCGTTCTTCTTGCACAGAGCCTTGCTGCACAGTTTGGCCGCGGAGGTGACGTTGATGACGTAGTGGCCGAGGGGTCCGTCGATGTAGTGTTTGACCGTCAGACAGTTTTTCTGCGGAGAGAAGCAAAGCAAAGGAAAAGATTTTGCATTACAGTGGTCACTGATTTAATAGGGGACTCTACAAATAACCCACAATAAGCAAAATAATTGGCGAAAGTATCACTTATAAAACCCCTCACCACCATAGACTGTATATATTAATGGACAGAGTCACGCCTATCTCCGCCGTTCTAACTAATGGGCCAAAAAATGTGCTCTACTGGAGAAATCCAAAATGGCCGCGAGTGGTCCCGCCCACAAGAAAATTGTGAAAAAACGCATCTGCGCATGCGTCAGCCGGCGCAGCTCCATTCATTTGAACGAGAGACTTCAAAAGTTCACAGCGAGTAAACTAGAGGGGACCAAAAAAATCCACCCCCCTCAGCATTGACACACATGTGGAACGGAGCTTTGGGCCAAGAACCAACTTTTGGTCCATCCTGTAAAGACGTTTTCGAGAGGTCTGCCAATGCTATATGTTAGCATTGGCTAATTCTTCTTCTGGGTCCACCCCCATCGGCCCGGGGTGGTATTGCAGCATGTCAGCGCACGTCATTTTGGCCACTTTTGAGCTGGGACCCGCCCCCACTGCTCACCACACACTTTATACAACTTCTAATGAAATGTGAAATGTGATCGCAGCGATATCCAATCCGTTGGTTATACATAGATCTGATCCAGCAGGGGCGGGTTTCGGCTCAAAAATCTCCAAAATGATGTGCGCTGACATGCTTGCAATACCACCCTAGGCCAGAGGGGCTGGACCCGGAAAACGATTTATTCAATGCAAATGTACGTATCTTCTTACCTCTCAAAAACGGGTTTACAGGATGGTCCAAAAGTCGGCTCTTGGCCCAACACTACGTTCCACATGTGAGTCAACGCTGAGGGGAGGGATTTTTTTTTGACCAGTCTACTTTAGCCGCTGCAAAATTTTGAAGGCACTCGTCAAATGAATGGAGCTTGTGCCGGCTGACGCATGCGCAGATGCATTTATTCATATTTTACAGCCCCCGCAGCCATTTTGACGGCAAAAATTATGGCACATTAGTTTGAACGGCGGAGATAGGCGTTACTACGTCCGTCAATATTTACAGTCTATGGTCTGAGCGCTGCTGCAGCTGTCAAAAGGAAGACTGCGACTGTCCTCTAAAGTTCAGAACTCAGAACAGAGAACCACTAAACTTTTCTTTGCCACTGTTTTTGTTGTTGTGGCACCACCTGCATGTGAAAGCCAGATGCTGTCAGACCTCTGAAGCTAAGCAAGTCAGGGCCTGGTTAGAACTGTGATTGGGAGACCGCCACATTGTGCATGCTTGAATGTTACCTGTGACCGGGCGTATTCAGATGATCCCCACAAGACTGCACCCGCCGCACCCAAAGCAGCACTCTCCCCAATGGTGTGGATTAAGTCACTCTAGAAAGGAGAAGGCTTATTGTAAATATAGAAACTACTTGAAATGAGGGAATTTTATAATTTCTTTACATTTATTTCAAATTTGAAACTTAACTGCTTCAACCACAGCCAAGAGATTACAAAGGCTGTAATTTCAAATAATTTATGACAATACTTGTGCTTTAAAAGGCAGAAAATGACTCATAGTAGAATAATGACATCACAATATTACAGGACTGAGACAGGAGCATAGAGAGGGGATTAGCATGGACGGATCTAAAAACATTACATTTTTAAACAACATTTTCCTTTGCTTTATGTGACACCATTTGAGCTCTTGCCTTACTTGCGAAAGCACTGTGAAGGTATACGCGTAGAAAGGTCTGGAGTAGACAAAAACCGGCAGAGAGTGGTCGGTTCGGGCGATTGAAGCGATCCTCATGGCCTCTTTAACTCTGTAGTGCACAAACTTCACGGTATTGGACGAAGACCGGAGTTCATAGTCCAAATATATGGAGGGGTACAAGGCCGTACTCTCCTTCCACAGCCACATCAGATGGTCATTTCTCACATGCTCCACGTTCGGACACTCTCCCGTGTATCTTTGCGGATGCTGTTTGTATCCGTAGTTATAGCAATCCGGGAATAAGTAAAACCCCCAGAGTCCTTCCGGTCTTCGACTTTCTGCCAACGCCAATGTCAAGTTCATGAACGCTTGCCCTGCTTTCTCAAAACTCTCTTTCGCCTCCTTTTCCACTTTGCTCTCTGGCCAGTTTGGATGCATTTTCCGGATCTGTTCCTTGGACTTGTTCCTGTATATGTCTTTTGCACCCCAGTTGCGTACCCATTGCGGTCGCCAGTTTTCCCAATCGATGACACCAAGTCCTCTGAAATCCTTCTGCGGGATGGTTTTATCGATATCAACTCTTGCTTTGCTGAGGTGTTTGGTGAGGCTTTGATTTTGGGGAAGGCCGCCATTGATGGGTATTCCTGAGTTGGAGTAGAATGGGTAGTATCCGAGATGGCGGTGGTAAAAGATAGTCACGTTCGGACCGCTCAGAGTTTCGTTGAGATTCGCAACGATGTCGAAAACGCTCAAATCCAAGTCCACTTTGAATCGTAGGCGGCAGAATTCGGTCGGGGCGTTCCAGACCACGACAAAAGGTCTGTGCGGGATGAGTGGAGCGCGTCCCGGTTTAAGCTGGTCTCCCCAAACTTCCAGCTTCACTCCGAGGCAAAACAGTACAGCCAGAACCACCACCAGGGGGAGCCCTTTGCACGCCATGGCCGAAGGGTAGACATGTGGCAATTATCGGAGGCTGGCTGGAATGGGAAGAAGAGAGAATGGGAATATTATGAGCTTGGCTGAACACAAATAAGTAAGCAAGCATAGAGAGAACGGAGGGTCACTGAAGCGGATGCTCTAGATTCCACAACACAACAAATAGTTTGGTGTAAAGGAGAGACAAAGCTGATTGAAGATGGGCAAGGCAAGTTTATTGACATAGAACAGTTCATACACAAGGCAACTCAGAGTGCTCACCAAAGCTAGAAAATAAACATTGAAATCAAACAAGGCGTTCAAATCATAGATAATCATAGTACATTCAATAGAGAGAAGGTACAATACTTCAGTTGTATCTATAGAATAGTTTTCAACCTGGATTCAACATTGTCAGAGTATAAGCCGGTCTAATAAACGTATAGGAAGACTGTTCCAGTAAGTAAGTAAGTAACCTTTATTTATAGAGCGCCTTTCACAGACCAGACTCACAAAGCGCTTTACAATTGTGTCTCTCACTCCACACAGAGAGCGGGGTCAGTACAGGAGGCGCATGCCAGACCTATTGTACATGTTTTTAGTGGTACTGGAAACCGAAGCACCCGGAGGAAAACCTACGCAGACACAGGGAAAACATGCAAACTCCACTCAGAAAGGCCCAATCTGAATGAGTGAGTGAATGGATGGTGTTGGGGGCTTCGTTGCGCCAGTGTGTTCAGCGTCTTACTTCCGTCATGACCGTGTGGAGAGAATGGAATAATATCTGATAAAGTGTAAAGTGCTTTGGGTGACATTGGTCTGTAAAAAAAAAAGCGCTATATAAATAAATGAAGCACTTACTTACTTACTTAAATGCATAAATCTGAAACACTGCCTCACTCTGTAAAAAAAAATTCTCCATATGATCCACATGATCTCAGCAAGTTGAAATGCTCATACAATTTCACATCCTGGCTGAAATCAAAACTCAATTGTACCCATTTGTAGATTAGTAAATAGCACTGAGTTTGTGTGTAAATGATTTAAAAAGGGTACGTTTATAAGATAATATTGAAAATGATAATCTAGTGTAGAGAGGCCTAACCAGGGACTGGAGTTGAAAATTAGTGTAACTCTACTTGCAACGCATCAGTTACAAGAGGGGTGACAAAAACTCTTTTAGGTCGTGGGCCAAATTTAAAAAGTTAAGATCTGGTTGGGGCCAGAAGTAAAAGTGGTATAACATTTTTTGACAAATTAACTGCATTTGACATAAATTTGGATTATACTTTTCAACCACAACTGGGCAGAATATCATTCATTAAGTGATGCATTGGAGGACTGCTAGCTAAAACTATACTATAACTTCTATGTATATTTTAGTTAACATTTTAGAGCAGATACAATATATGGGTGTTTTCCTGAGACAATAGGCTTTGAAATGAAGTATAACATGTCATGAATTTGACATGCCGAAGTTACAAGCTTGTTTTGTTCTATGTTGACTTGCAATCTCCCTGTCAAATAAATGAATGAGTCAATTGATAAAACAAGAAAATTGGCTCCAGCTAGTTAATGTTCCAATCGGCCTCTTCTGCATTAAGTCCACTCCTAATACACGCTCGATGCTATTGTCATAATATATTACTGGCTGCTCTCATAAAGCTTGGGGGAATGACTCAGGGGAATAGACATGTGAAATCCCGTCACATGGCTTTGATTAGCTGATATTCGGCATGTGCATGTGGTTTCCTCAAAGTCCCAAACCACAATACTTATGGCGCCACATTCGTTTTGCTCCGACTTTCTTATTTATCAACCGTCCAAAGCTTCACCTCTTCACGCCACAGACCTCCATCAAATACAAAGCGCTGCGTTCGTGCACGGCGCCGTCTCACATGCTCTCAATCCATATATTTCCATTTTTCCGCTGTCGGGAGCTCGAGGGGAAGCCGCTTCTTTGAGGCCGCATCCAAGGACGCTGCGGAAAGTCTCCCATCATGCTCCTGTGTGTGGCAGGCAACGGGAAACCACTGACGCTGCTTCAATCTGCTAAAGGTTCATTCAAATGTGGGTCAGTGGTAATCGGCCCAGATTGACTGTTATGTAGAGTTTCTGTTTCAAGTTCAATTTTCAGTTCAATTTTTCTATGCAGCTCTAAATCACAACCAGCAGCAGTCGTCTCTAAAGTTGTCAACCCTCCAACAAAAGGTCAGAGCAAAGGAAATGCAATAATAACAAACACATTAATCCATAAATGTTAACAAATGTCCATAAATATCATCCTGCATCAGTATAAGCAACAAACTTCGGGGCTATTTATTTTGGATTAAATAAGTATTCAACCATCTATCCATCAATGTATGTTCCATTTAGCACTACAAGTTTTATAAATGATTCTATTTTGCTGAAACAGGCCTATTCGACTCCTGCCCCGCGAGCCATATCAGCCCCTCTAAGCAATCTGAATCGGCCCATCCAGCCATTGATTACATATTTTTGGCCATATTTACAAAGTATAACATGATTGAGCCGATCTGAGAAGAGGTCGAATGTGCAGGTCTAGCAAGGCAGCCCAGGAAAGAACAGGAACTTGTGGTCTTTTTCCAAAGAGAAAGAGCAGAGAGGTGGTAGTTGTGAAATATCCACCACTGCCATAGACCACTGCTACTGACTGAAGACCCAATGGCATTACAGGGTCAAAAGCAGAGGATAGAAACACTAAAGTATAACACAAATAGATAAAAGTGTAGTATCCATCCCTCTGCATGCTAACGATATGCATCTAATAAATCATCCGTCAAAATGTTGGATCACGGATGAAATATCGTGTTTAATTTCCTCTGCCCTGTGGCTCCTCCAGTCCCATGCATGTGCACATTCCCGGTTTCTCTGGTGTTCCCAGTTATATATCTCCAACATAAACAGTGTGGTGACGCCCTTTAGCCAGGCTCCTGAAAAAACCACGTCAGGTCTGGAGACAGAACGTGGACAGAGACACGTCTAGACCACCAGAAGGACCCCCCAACTACAGAGAGTCTGGAAACACTTAAGAGAAGCAATCAAAAACATCACAAGAGACAAGGGGCAAACATAACACAAATGCTCAATGAAGGCCGATAGGGAGTTTTAGGGAGGTCTCTTTAACCTACACCTGGTGGACTGGTCTCCCCTGTACTGGACTCATGGACTTTTTTCACCCTCCCTGCACCGCACAGCCTAAGTCCTCGTTCTACAGCCTGAGTCCTGGATCCACAGCCTGTCTGTCTGTGAGAGCAGATTCTTCTCTCAATAAAATACGTCTCCCGTTTTTTGTTTTGTGTTGTGCCTTGCCCATGCATAAAGTCATTTAAATAGACATTGAAATGCAAATGGTGAATACATTCTTGAATCTTGAATATTAATGATATCTATGGATATTGGTCATCCCGCTCCCCTTATGAATCAATGGCTCCAATGTGTTTGTCTGCAAATGAATGACACCCATACAATCATAACAGCTGTATTTGCATAAACTTCTTGATCACAAACAATGATAGAATCCAAAGAGCAGGTTCGCACCCTTGTAATGTTCTTTGGTGGAGAAAGAGGATGAGGGTTGAAGGAAGAAGTTGGTTCTTGAGGAAAGACCCGTACGCTGCTAAAATCCTGGCGAGAACCCCGACTAGTTTCCACAAGAATGAATTTCTAGCCTCTGTCACATCTTTAGACCAGATTATTTGGACAAAAAGTGAAAAAGAGAGGACCATGAGCAATCTTCACACATCCCAAATAACATACACATTGTCATATACTGTAAGTGCTACAGTATTATGACAGATTATAGGTGAGATTATTGCTTCATCGATAGTGATTAGGTTAAAGGACTCTCTATCCCTGGTCTCACTACGTCCGGTCTCTCTCTGGTCTCTCTCATTGGTCACTCTCTGGTCTCTCTCTGGTCTCTCTCATTGGTCTCTCTCTGGTCTCTACCTGGTCTCTCTCATTGGTCTCTCTCTGGTCTCTACCTGGTCTCTCTCTTTGGTCTCTCTCTAGTCTCTCTCTAGTCTCTCTCTGGTCTCTCTCTGGTCTCTCTCTGGGCTCCCTCTGGTCTCTCTTATTGGTTTCTCTCTGGTCTCTCTGGTCTCTCTCTGGTCTCTCTGTGGGCTCCCTCTGGTCTCTCTCATTGGTTTCTCTCTGGTCTCTCTTTTTGGTCTCTCTCTGGCAGAGGTGTGGACTCGAGTCATGTGACTTGGACTCGAGTCAGACTCGAGTCATGATTTTGATGACTTTTGACTCGACTTGACCAAATATAAAAAGACTTGCAACTTGACTTGGACTTTAACATCAATGACTCTGACTTTCACCTGGACTTGCGCCAATTGACTTGCAAAGACTTGCGTAACCCGGGCCATTTTTACCTTTCTCCGCATCTCTCTTTCTATCTATGCCGTCTCTGAAGAAACAAAGCCTTGCGGTAGTTGTAGCGCTCGCGAGAGAGTTCGAACGTGAGTTCCCCGCAGTTCGCTCAGCAACACTTCCCTAAACAAGCGCACTGCATTCACCGGTGGGTGTGTTGTCGTAGGGGAGCTGGAAATGAGAGAGCTGCAGGTATTTATCGCGACCTAACGTCATATTTTGTTCTACAAACCGTAATTGATATGCTTTCACTACAGGAGCCTCATACAATTGAATCGACGCAGTTGTCACACTGTGTGCCGTGTTTTAAAGAGGAACTGGTGAGTCAAACTAGCGCTAGCCTGCGCTGCTCTGTTGGCTCTTTCTTATATTTTTCTGTGTGAGCGCCGAGACCTATTATTATGAGTATATTTTTGCTGTGCTCCTCCTGCTAAAGTTTGCATACATTAGATAGTTGTTTTGATTATGTGCACTAAGCTAGATTAATACTTGCACTATTGTTTATGGTGCATTGATATGAGAATCAGTACTTTGACTGATTGAATTAATTTATATGAGACATTTTATTATGTAATGATATCAGAATCAGAATCAGAATCAGAATCATTTTTATTGCCACGTGAGTAACAAAGTTATCACTTGGAAATTGTCTTGGCAGAGAGCGTGCCACTTCGCCATTTGCGGCGCTGTGTGCAGCAAGAAACAGCAGAGAGCAATAACATACAGTTCACATACAATTGGATAGACACATTGTGCTTTTTATAAACCACGGATTTTTTTCTCGGGATGAGCACCTCCGGCGGCCGGCCCAATGTAGCTGTCAGAGGGGGGCGGGATCAGGGAGGGGGTGAGTAGGAAAACAATAAGGAATGGAGGGGAGGGAGGGAGCAAGATGGATAGGTAGAGGGAGGCGGGGGTGAGGGATCCTTGCTGGAGACTGAAATAGTGTGAGTTGTTGTAGATTGTGGGACCTTGTTTATGGCCTTGGTCAAGGAATGTGAGATAAGAGTGGGGAGAAGACACAGCAGGAGAAACACAAATCGCCAAATCGCCTGAGAGGGATAATATTATATGCAATGTAGCATCAAAAGCAGGCAGATATTCTATAATTCCAATTAAACCGAATTACGGCGCCCTCAGACCTCCGTACACAGGGGCAAATCCAAGCCGGGTCAGAGAGTTCAAGCCTGACAAACAATGTCATTCAATCTCAATTCCAGAGTTTTATGCCCATCGAGTGAACGAGCTGCGAGATCTTTGATCAACTGTTCCACCAACACCACTCTCCGTTGTCCAGACACGGCACTCTCAACCACGACACGGCTTAGCTCCTTGTACATCCCATCAATTTTGTCGGCCAGCAGGTCGTGAATCTTGCGAACTGCCATGCCACCGAATTTATGGTAGAATAGAACCGCTCCAAACCCAAACAGGAGGATTCCCACCACCAAAATGCCAAAGATATATACGTCTTCCGAATCTTCAATGGACAGGGTCGACAGACAGAGGGGCTGAAACTTGTTCCAACTGTCAAGAGTATACCCCGCCGGTGAAGTCCCGTCCGGGCACACGGGCTCTCCAGACCCACGCTTACGTGTTGAAAAGATAGAATCAATTGCGTTGAGGGACCAATTAATCATTTCCATTCTGTTAAAGTTGTCTGTGGCAAAACTCCAGGAAAAAAGACAAAAACAGGAGATAGCAAGCCGTTCAGAAGCAGGAGCGGACTAAGACACGTCTTTGCTCGACGGAGCAAAGACGTGTCTTAGTTTTAGTTTTAAAAGCATTAGTTTTACTAATGCTGGTCCAGTTCATACAGGCCAGGTTCCTTCCCCTCCATTGGTCCCTTCAGTCCTTTATAATATAAGCATACTATTCATATATGCTGCACTTGCTACTTCCCATTAAAAACCCCAAAGATAAAAAGTATGTTGACACGGACTGCTCTGATTTTATGTGTGGTCTGTGCATGTGTAACTGAGCCTGCATCTGGCACAACATCCAATTAGATCACGTAGATAGTTTTGATTTACCAGCAGCCAACAACATGGAACAAACTGTTAGTCCATGGGTCAGAGACCAACGAGAATGCACCAGCAAAATGATTCCTAACATTATTTTGTTTGCCTACAAAAGTACGTGGAGACCAACAAGAAACAAATCGCGGTCAAAAAGACTCGAGAGGACTCGCAAGTCAAACCGTAGGACTTGGGACTGACTTGAGATTTGTTGGCCTTTGACTTGGACTCGACTCGGGACTTGCCTGTCTTGACTCGTGACTTGACTCGGGACTTGAGGGCAATGAATTGAGACTGACTTGTGACTTGCTAAACAATGACTTTGTCCCACCTCTGCTCTCTGGTCTCTCTCTGGGCTCCCTCTGGTCTCTCTCATTGGTTTCCCTCTGGTCTCTCTCATTGGTTTATCTCTGGTCTCTCTCTTTGGTCTCTCTCTCTCTGGCCTCTCTAGTCTTGCTCTGGTCTCAATCTTTTTCAAAGCTCCTGTTGGGACAAACAGCATGTATATTTATGCCACAAAAGAGTTGTTATTAGCACAAATACAGAGATTCTACAGCGGTGCATTGTTCGCATTTTGGGATAGTTGAAAAACAAAAACACTGCTACTCACTTTCCACCCTGTCTTGTCATTGATAGTGTCTAATGAATGTGTAATTATAAGAAAATAAGAGAGAAAATTGAATTGCGTTTGGTCTGTTTTAACCATAACAACCAAACACCATTCGCAGCTTTCGAAATGCAGCGACTCTTCTACGCCTCATCGTCAATCAAACGTAATTCTTGGCTCGACTTGTGTGAAGTTTCCCGTCTTCTCTCGGGGTCATAAACTGGTTCGGGCTTTCTGCGTTTATGTTCCCAGCTCAGTGGTCGGTGAGCGGCTTGGACAGTGCGGCGTGGAAAGTATGAAGCCGGCCACACATTAGCAGTTCATTATACTCCATTAAGCCTTCAGGACCAGACGCGGCCATCAAAACTCTCCCCGCACATGGAGATTAAGAGGATTGGTTGAGGCTGTACCGTGGTCCCTCGCTGTAACGCGTTTCACCTTTTGCGGCCGCGGTTTCTCTGATTTTTGTGTGTGAGAAACAACATCATATACATTATCAACGAACCGCTAGTATGATATGACAGATCAAAGTTCAAAGATTGTGGGTCAGATTATAGCTTCATCGATAGTGATTAGGTGAAAGCCAAGGACTCTCTCTCCCTGGTTTCTCTCTGGTCTCTCTCTGCTATCTTTCTCTGGTATCTCTCCCTGGTCCCTCTCTCTAGTGTCTTTTTACAGCTGCATCAGCGCTCAGACGTGAAACCAGTAGCTATTTATATTAAATGTATGAGTATGAAACAGAAAGTTAGGCACTCCAGCTTTGTTGGTTTTGCACTGACCACATACAAACTGTCCTTTTTTTGGTTTCCCACATAACATCATTAGCATTCAGGCTTTTGTTTGGTTTTTTTGTTGCTTGGGAGCACAATATTTCTGTTGGAAGGTACATTCATGTATTACAGTTTATCCATGGATAAGTGAGTTGGATCACCACCTCCAACGAGCTCTATGTAATATTTCATTTCATTTCCTTTGCTCTGAGTGAGTTCCCGTCATGACCCTCCTCCTCTCGCAGCTGCTTCTGTCTGGTTTCTCTCTGCAGATGTTTCCAGATGTGATTGGACCTGATCAACACTGACAGAACTGCTGACAAGAGTCTCACATGTATTCATTCAAATGTCACAATCCTCTTCTCTCACCCTCGTTATGACTGTAGTCTGTTCATTGCTATTCACCCGCTGCCCCTTTGATCATGGCGTGATGATGGGACTCGCTTTGACTTACACTGGTGAACTGGTTGCCTCCGGCCCAGGCTCATGAGCTGCACCCCCAAACCTGCCTGGGAGCCTCTTCAGTCCTGCACTGCACAGCCTCAGTCCTGGATCTACAGCCTCAGTCCTGGATCTATAGCCTCAGTCCTAGATCTACAGCCTCAGTCCTGGATCTTCAGCCTCAGTCCTGGATCTACAGCCTCAGACCTGGATCTACAGCCTCAGTCCTGGATCTACAGTCTCAGTCCTGGTTCTACAGCCTCAGTCCTGGATCTACAGCCTCAGTCCTGGATCTACAGCCTCAGTCCTGGATCTTCAGCCTTAGTCCCGATCTTCAGCCTCAGTGCTGGATCTTAAGCCTCAGTTCTGGATCTTCAGCCTCAGTCCTAGATCTTCAGCCTTAGTCCTGGATCTTCAACCTCAGTCCTGGATTTACAGCCTCAGACCTGGTTCTGCCTGTCTGTCCAAGAGAGTGAATCTCGATGCAGGAGGATCTAAGGACTGTGATGGTCTGGGACATTTATGCACATTTATTTACATTCATCTAAGTTTTTGCAGAAATTTGAAAAAAAAAAGTACAAAAACAATGGCATGGTTTTTTTTCTTCGTTTTTTCACATATTTCCAATCCAACTTTATTTGTGAAGCACATTTTTACCAACACACTGTTTCCAAAGCACAGTACAAATAAAAAAAGGCAAATATGAATGTAGTTGCCTGCGTTTTAAACTTCAAATCTATGCATTCATAACTAGACCTAAGCAGTCCATAACGAACCACAGCCTCTTACCTTGAGTTGGTTTCGGAGTTTGGTGTTGTTGAAACCCACAAATACTCAGTGTCTGTGGAGCCTCCCATCAGAGGCCGGGGTTTGGTGACGGTGACCCCTCCTCGTGTGAAGCTGCTCATTAACTGGACCAAACTGGACCAAACCGGACACAGCATCGACACAACACAATCCAGCACACGCCTTTTTTTCCTAATCAACTTCTTATCAACATTGACACGATACATACAAGTATAATATATCTTGCTAGAGTGTACAGTAATTAACACGTTGGTTCTTTATTTAGCTAAAGATGGAGATTTTATTTGATTTATATTCACTTGTGTTGTGTAAGATATGATATAAGATAACCCTTTATGTCTCTCAGTGGGAAAAGGCCAGTGTGGTTCCCAGTTTACAGCATCAAAAAAGGAGAAATAAAAGCTCTCAGGTTCTGCACATGTCAAACAGGATCTACAATTTAAAGGCATATAGGTTTTCTTCTTCCGCGTGGATCATCTAGAGAAGTCATTCCCAAACCTTTTTTGTATGTCCCTCAAAAAGGACTCACAAACACATCTTGTTTTCAGAGTCCATTGCAGTTTATGCCATACATTGTGATTAATATAAACCTCAGCCCTAACTACAGATTGTAATGTGTCAAAAATTTGTCCATCTTATACTAGCAGGGTCATTTAGCCAACTGTATTTTCGTTCATTCATTCGTACTGCCCCCCCTTGCGAATGCCCACCCCACCACTGACCTAGAGCTAAAGTTAAGGCCCAGGGGCCAGATCCGGCCCACAAACGAATTATCTTGGGCCGCACAGAGCCATAAGAAAATATTGGATTATTCTTTTATTGTTCAGGACATGTGTTTTCTCTTTGGAGGAAGTTTTTTGTGTCTGTGATCTGATAAAAAAGGTTTTCACTTGAAATCACTTACAGAGTCATACAAAAATATTGGATTATTAATTTAATAATTAAAATATGGTACACTGTGTTAGGTCTCGGTTCAATACATTATATGCAATCATTTTAATATGTTCTAATAAACGTTGAACCAGTCCAGCCCTCGGGCTTGTAGAAAAATTGTTTTTTTGGCCCTCTGATGTATTTGACTTTGACATCCCTGATCTAGGCTATTGGTCAATCATTCCGGTGATAGGCGGTCACTTCCTAAAATTCTGCGAAAATCCTCCTATGTACCATTCAGATAATAGAACATAAAATAATAAGATAATAAACTCCCCTGTGGAGTACGCACTGAGCAGCAGTCAGAATGTTTCACATTTACAGATGGCTGCAGGTACTTTACTCTTCATCGTTCTGTAACTTGTGATGCAACACTGGAATTTCCCCCACAGTCAGGAAGACAGTGAAGGATCTGAGTAACACTTTAGATGAGCCCTCAATAATTTACAGCTAATTTAGTGCTAATTATTGTACCCTAGCCCTAACCCACATGAGAAAGTGTCAGTTAGTAGTTAGTTAGATGTTGAATAAGGCCATGTAGAAAAAGGACTAATAAAGGCTTAATAAATACCAAGTAAGAGCAAAATAATCATACATTAAACACTTTTTAGCATTCAATTAGCTGTTAGTTAGCTCAGGCTAGACTAAAGTGTTCCCAGAATCTCTTAATCTTAATCTCAATATTAGCAATTTCATTAGCGATTATATGCGGTGGTCCCTCGTCTATCGCGTGACCTTCTAAATCTCACATCCATTCATTCGTTCGGAGTCAGGAAATACTTTCTTATCCTCGCTGACTGGTCGCACTTTACTGCAAATCAATGCGGTTTAATCTTCGGTGACTCGGAGAGAGCTCACCGTTCACACGAGAAAGGTGTTGCCCGCTCCACACCCCGATTTCGCAGCTGTTAAAATATAAGATAGATTCAAAGTTCAAACCCCACCTCTGCAAAGACCGTGTTCAATTGGAAGTCTATTTGAACTGGAGTCAGACCACACATAAGTTAAATGTTTAATGTTATTGCACTGGTATGTTATTGTGTTCTTTGTGACCTGCACAACTGAAATCCAGGCTACATAACAGAGCTGAGGTCATGTGGAACGAACCATGTCAAAATACGCTTCTTGCTGATTTTTTCAAAGTCAGAGAACAGCCCGATAAAGGGTAGTCTGTGTGCGTTTGCGTTCATTGCATTTTCTACTCTCGCAATGTAAAAATCAAAAAATTGTTTTTTATGCAAAAGTACACGGACCGATAGTCACGCCTATCATAGTATTCTCTGAGTCAGCGTGTGGAATACATGCTGTAAAAAGACTATTAGTGTTGAGCTGCAGTCATCACAAATTGGCGAACAGAAGCAAATGCATTTACAGAGAAATTGTGTCTGCGGGTAAAATGGAAAAACCCATAAACAACTATTGATTTGTCTGCCTTGATAATGCGATTGCAATTTTGAGCGGCCGAATCTCTGGGTTGCATATTAGTACAGGCAAAACATAGCCAAAGTGTCTATTTTTCATTTATTTCGTATTTATATTTTAAGTTTGGTCCTGTGGAAACAGTTTTGAGCACGGCAGCATGGCGCAATCACATAGAGGTTCGCACAAAGGTTATATATGCTGCCATCTGCTGGACAACTTTTGGTAGTGCAGTAGCGGGAGAAGAGCTTTAGAATTATAAATTGCAGTGTCATGATTTGGCATCACACTTGAGTCAAATGCGCCCCTGTGTCTGCGAAGTTTTCCTCCGGGTGCTTCGGTTTTCCCTGCCACAAAAAAAAAAATGCAAAATAGGTCTGGCGTCGCTGTGTGGAATGAGAGGAAACATGCCCACAACCATTGTTATGTGCTGTGTGACTGTATATGAATAAGCAAAACAATTACCAAATTAATCACTAATGAACAAGTATAGGCAGAGAAGCGCCATATATATTTCTCTCTGTTTTCTTTTATGAACATAGGCTTGTTTTTAGGATTATGTTATTGAAAGATTCATTTCTATACATTTTTTCATAGAATCACAACAGCAGTCATAACGGAGGATTTAAGAAAGTTGTCGATGAACCAACAGCAGCGAATCTAACGAACACAGGAAGCATTTCACAGTGCCATTTGTTTCCTGCACATTAACTCTGTACATTTAACCTTGTTTTTATTTATGTACTGACTTGTGCACACTGGGGACTTTTTTGCAAATGTATTCCAATGTGGTTTTACTGCAAATAGCAAATTAACTTAATCTGAACAAACTCATAGGTCTTATTGGTCCCTAGATGTCCTTAAATGTCCCAGATCACCACAGTTTCAATTTGTGAATCAGAATTTTGAACAACAATCATCAGCTAAATGAGTAAGTAAGGTATTTTCTTTTGGATTTTGGCTATAGTGTCCCCCATTCTTTGATAAACACAGCACATTTGGCAGGTGGTCTCCAGATTAGGATGGACCAGTGTGCAGTCCATCTGTCACCAGTACACACCACAACAATAGGCCTGCCTGCCTGCTTACCTGCGTCCTTTCTGGTTACACACTTGAGAGCAGCAGGGAGATGAGAAACTAAAGCTTGGCTGCCGCTTGCATCCACTGCTTGCTATGCCCTACCTAAATGGGTTTGAAAATATAGTCACTGGAATAATAGGCCCCTCGTAATATCAGCACTGCACTGGTCCACATGGTGTAACAAGGCCAAAAACAGAATTTGTTCTTTCATTTTGTACAAATAGAAATGAAAGCTATGATTGAGTGTTTTTTAATATTTATTTTTTAAACATGTGATTGTAATATTAAATCTATTGGTTTAGCAATTTTCAAAAAACTAAGTTCACAAAGTACTGCACAGTTAGCTTAAAACAAGCAATACAAGTCAATAAAAATACATGTAGTTATAAAGTGAAATATCAACAAGTATAAATGTATAAATACAGAAAAATAAAGCAGAAAGTTATGTGCCATAACAAGAAAGACAAACCAAGAGAGAGACCATATCAGACCACACAGAGAGAGACCAGAGAGAGATCAGAGAGAGACAAGAGATATCAGCGAAAAACCAGATAGAGACCAGAGAGAGGCTAAAGAGAGATTAGAGAGAGACCAGAGAGAGACCATGCAGAGAGAGGCTAAAGAGAGATCAGAGAGAGACCAGAGAGAGACCATGCAGAGAGAGGCTAAAGAGAGATCAGAGAGAGACCAGAGAGAGGCTAAAGAGAGATCAGAGAGAGACCGGAGATTGAGACCAGAGATAGAGACAAGAGAGAGACTAGAGATAGACCACAGAGAAAGACTACAGAGATACCAGAGAGAGAGAGGTACCAGAGAGAGGTACCAAAGAGAGGGACCAGAGAGAAGGACCAGATCTTTTAATTCATAGGAGTTAAAAGATCTGAGCTGGTAAACTTTACTGCAATACTATTTTGCACAGAAAGGGAATAGAACATCTAGTGTATGTTATAAACCAAAACAAACATATCTCAAGTTCATTTCAAGTTATGGTGTTACGTTTGCCTCCTACGTCACTCTCCGCAGCCCCGCCCCTCTCTCCGCAGAGCTGCATTCCATTTGGACCGTACCATTTCCCCTAGCAACGGCGATATGCTCAATATAACGCCGTGAAACTGGGATAAAAGTACGTTTTCATGCAGACGATAAAACATGAATAGTCTTCCATCACGTTTTTGATGCAAATATGATTATGGTGTCGTAAATATCCCAAAGTTTTCCCCTCGGAATCCCCCCCTCTCATCTTGTTTAAAGTGGCCCCTTCCGTCTGGCTGCCATATTGGATATACGCATAGCGACTGCAGCCACTGGAGTTTTCTCATCAAAGTTGAGAGTATATTCTTCCAGCGAGACTAAAACAGACAACTGCAATTCCTTTCGCTTTTTACCGGAGCATTAACGAATACTTTCTGAACAATAGCACGCCTGGGTAACACCCCTTCTCTCCCCCTCAGCCCTCCTCCAGCCCGAAGCGAAGGGGGTGAGATGATCTGGTTGCAGGCCGGAGGAGCGACTGCTGCAGCCCGCATGGATTTTCTCTAATTAGCGGTGTTTGTAAGGGGGGGAATAAGTGCACCCGTTTGAGGGGATTGTATACGCTGACTCTCGGGACGCCATGAACAGCCACCCTCCGCCTCGCAGGGCCATTAACGTGGGCTCCATCCTGCTGACCCCACAGGAGAACGAGTGCCTGTTCAGCTACTTGGGAAGGAAATGTGCAGTAAGTTTGTTTACCACCTGCCCTTTGGCTCTAGTCGCAGGTGCAAGCGATCGTGCCACGTTAAACTATGCATGCATGCACTATTCTGTCTATGGCATCAATGGCTATGATGCTGTAGGAGACGAGACGCATTATTTGTTGAGCCATAAACTTGCACACAGGGGAGATGCAGGCAAAGCTACTCAAAACGAATTTATATAAGATTAAAGAACCTTTATCCTATGTTCCATGTTGCAGCTCTCCTGGACAGTAGAAGGAGCATCCACAATATGCAATGATAAGTAGCTGTGAATGCATTTTAATGGGAGCATTACCAGAATAAATGAAGTAGATAAAGTATTGCACGTTATTGCAGCATTTACTTGTTGTACAGTCTTGATAGCAGCAAGGAGGGAGGCCCTGCTGAACTTCTTCACACAGCTTGGGGTTGATCAGTCTGTCACTGAAGCTGTTCTCCAGAGAAGACTAAGTGTACTGAAGGGGGCGATAGTCGTGGTTCAGATGGATGTTAGTTTGTCTTGGCTCTCATGGTCTGCTTTAGGTCAAAACTTTGCAGACAAAGTCACTCAATTCTTGTTTTTCACAAGAATTGTAGTTTTGCATCAGTTTAAACCATAACTATTTTATGATTTTAAAAGTATTTCTGTTTTCTGGAGGATTTTTAATAATACATATGAATAAAATATTATGTTAATTTCTATGGCAGCACCATCTTGAAATCAATTAAAATCATTCAAAAACTCCTATCACATTATGTCCTGTTTGATTTGATTGGTTTTAGTTTTATTATTGATACTTATTGAGAAACTCTAGGTTTTTGTATACATTTTAAAATCTGACTGCCAATTAATTTGACAATCTTACTTCAGGTTCCTTAAATTCAAATTTAAATAAAGAATTAATTTGACTTATTTATTTATTGGATTTTGAGGGGGGGGGGTTCGTCCTAAACAAAAGCTTGAATAAATGTTCCTTTGCTGTAACCAGTTGACGGTGGTTACTTAGATGGATGAGGAAAACTGGGCTACTTGATATGGTTTACAGTGTACTGTACACCAAAGTAGTGGCTGTGTCGAGAGGCCTTTGTCTGCAATACAAACATGACTCTCGGAATCTTATGTTTGCACAAAAAACAAGAAAATTGTGTTCTGGTAAATGTATTTAGGATTGCAGTTAGATGTCCTTAAAAAAGATGTAATGGTACTTATATTGAAAATCATAGGAAGTCCAAAATATGTTATATATAAAAAAGGATGGTTACATATTGCCTTGATGAATTGGACATAACATATTTTTTGCTTTCCAGAGACTGAACAACAAGCTCTTATTTGAGAAAGGGACTGTAAAGAACTAATTCCAGCACTTGCTTTACACTAGGGCTGGGCGATATGGCTGAAAACGATATCACAATATAAGTAATTCATATCGGTTGATAACGTTGATTGTTTATTTATTTTTTTAAACGTAAATAAATACATTTGTCGTGTTGGCTAACACATGTTAGCAGCCTTGTTTACAGTCACGGGGGAATGAGGCTGGAGCCAAATGTTCACAAGCAGTCTCCCCCACTTTAGTCCCTGTTTAATCCTGGTTTAGCTCCTGTTTTAGCTCCTGTTTTAGCTCCTGTTTTGGCTGTTTTCGAGTGTCATGTGTCCCCCGTGGCGGCTCCGGAAAAAGTTAATCTCTTGCTTTTGCCGAATGCATCGAGTCTCTGCCTCTCCCGCGCCGCACATGCTGTTCCTCGCTCGGAAGTGTTTAACTATTGACACGGCACTGAGACACAATCTTTAGATCCATGGCTATTATAATAGATCCATGATCCATGGACGCTACGCTTGGTGCGGTTGTTTTTTTGCTTTTCCCAGAAAGTTTTGCGGTTTGTAGTCGGCTGTGATAGGTCGAGAAGCCTCTGCCCACATCCCCCAGAATGCCGTGCGCTTCTGACTCGGCTTTACTTCCTGTGTTTTCTTCCTGTTTTTTCCGAACGGACTGAAGTGAAACTATTGAAGTTCTATCGACCCTGTTTTCTATTGATATCGAACACGTGTCTATTGCAATATATATCGTTATCGTTTTATCGCCCAGCCCTACTTAACACCATATATTACGAGTGGAGGGGATTACCAAATTGTTAGAATTAAGAGCTGAAGAATCTCATAAATGCAACCTCTAAAAAATGTATTGTCCTAGTGGCAAACATTGTTACTGCTGCTTGGTTAATTTGCACATTTCTTGTGTTAAATTTGTTCTTTTGATCTGATTATAGTATGTGAATGAAACCAACAGCACTACGGTCTTAATGAAGACCAAAACACATGAAGGTACAGCATTCTCCCAAGAAGTAGTTCTGCAGCTTTGGTTTTGTAAACGTGCACCTTGGTGTTAGTGGTTTGTCACTTTGGGGTTGTCGCTGTGTGTGTCTTTTACTAGTGCATACTTTCTTTTCTTCATCAGTCCTCAAAAGTCCAGAGTGGGGTGGTTAACTCGCAGACCTTTACTGTGTGATGCTGGTAAGTGTTTGGCTGTTCCACCTTTGACCGCCCCCTCGTAAATCTCAGCCCAGGAAACGACATGCCCTCCAGCGTTTCCTCTTCCTCCGCCTCTCGCCTGTGGCCGTGCGAGGAATGACTTTGCGCTGCAGAAATACTCTGAGAAGTGCAAACACAGTGTGTGACCTCAGTGAAAAACCTGCAGACCTCACATCTGAGCATGCCAATGCTGGATTAGAGAGTGCTGAGGATAGAAGGCAATCAAGGTGATGGCTTTGTTCTGCTCTTTGAATACAGAAATGTAAGCACCTAAATAACATTAATTTAGACCTCAAAGGCATCAATAATTATAACTACCGTAAATGCCGGACTATAAACCGCTACTTTTTTCAAGTTACTAAAATTCCATTGTTCCAGAGTATCTCCTGGGACACAGCTCTCTCTATCGGCTGTTTGTTTATGTGAACAGCAGAGAGCAAATGAGGGAATGTACCAAATATAAAGGACTGGTTTTCATGTGAAAATAGTCCCGACGTGGAAGCTAACGGTTAATGTCTGCGTGCTCAGAGTTCATTGTGTTGTACCGCTTGTATTCTGCGATGTCATCCTTTCAGTCATTATTAAGCCCCGTTTGAATTTAAATCATTTAACTCGTTTTGCAAAGACTGATTTCCAATGTTGATGCACTAAAATACAAAGCTAATGACATGTTTAATTGAATAACTTTTATTTGTGTAGTGTGTTTAAAAATAGATTTTTCTCACAGGCAAGTCGAGGCCATAAAAGTCCTCTTGATATAAAACCTCATTCTCCTTGATGAATTTCCCGGCTGTGTCTCTTTACAGCTGCCACAAAGCCACAGCAGCATCTTTGACTCGGTTACAACCCACTTTTCCTAGTCTTGTGTTACCAGTAAACTCCCTTGTATTAAAAGGACAAAAGTCGGATGGAAAACAAATCCAGCTTCCTTTTATTGAAACCCGATCACGAAACGACACTCTGCTTTTGTTCTTTTTCCCTTCTTTCAGCTAGTGGAAGAATGCTGGTGACAAATAATCTTATCTGTACAGGTTTGGCCAGATATTGCTTTCATTTTCGTTTTCGCTTTCTTTTGACTCATTCAGTTAGAAAAGGTGTTGCAAGTTTACAGAAGCATTGGACCATCTGGACAGGAGACACATGAGCAAAATGGGCATATGTTTTTATTTTGATTATGGCCGACTGAATCCACAGTGGCAAAGAGACAAACTTGTTCTTCAGAGATCTAAATTATTTTAAATGTATTGGTCTGCTGGACAATCCAAGAACACATCATGTTTTCTTTAATTGGGTCTTTTCTAACAGTTTCTTTATTCATAATTTGTCACTTTGCATTTGCTTTAGATGAAGTTTTGTCAGTCTTTTTAGTTGAGACTTGATCACATCTTCAGTAAGATGTGCACGTTTATTAACATTTATGGACATTGATCATCCTGCTCCCTATGGACCAATGGTTTCTTATTGCATTTCCTGTATTCGAACGGTTTGATTCTCTGGTCTTTAGTTGGCAAAGTCCTCGACAACTGCTGTTGTCATTTAGGGCTATACAAAAATAAATGTAATTGAACATGAAGGCAGGGCAATACTGCTGGACTATAAGTTGCTACTTTTTGGGCTGTGGTTTATGTGAACAGCAGAAACAGATGAGGAAATGCTGGGAAATACACAGGACTTGTGGTTCAGGCTGTTTTTTTACTAATATTTTGACTGCATCTTTATTGTCAAAATATATTTTAGTCCCGACATGGAAGCTAACTGTTAATGTCTGCCTTCTCAGAGCTCATTGTTATTTACAAAGGTTTTTAACAGTGCGTTAAGACACCACCATTAAATCATGTGGCCTCCAGTCGTCTATCGGTTTTGTTTTACTCCATCAGCTGTTGGTTAAGTGTTGAATTAAAACTGCTGGGACTCTGAGGAGCACAGGGACTGGTCTCCTGCTGGTGCCCAGAGTCTGGACTAAACACGAGATTGCATTCCAGATCTATGCAGCTTAACATCTCTTCCTTGAGACCGGCTTCTACTCTGACAATGTTCAAATCTGACTCAAAAACAAATTTGTTTAGCAATGTATACAACTGAAGGATTGTGTCTTCATTCTTTTTAATGTATTGTGATTATTTGTCGTTTTAATGCCTTTTTGTGTGATTTGTTTCCATCTTATTTTGTTGAGCACTTTGAGTTGCCTTGTGTATGAACTGTTCTATACAAATCAACTTGCCGTACCTTTAGTGCAGACGTCGCGGCTCAGCTTGCCTCTGCTTGTGTGTTGCAGTCTCTGTGCTCGGCCGTGGTCCAGGTGTATGCGGCGGATCGCAGCTGCTCGTGGGTCAAGAGATGCTGCGGAGTGGCCTGTCTGGTCAAAGACAACCCCCAGAGGTCCTACTTCATCCGGGTGTTCGACATCAAGGTGGGTGTCCGCACGAGTCAGTCCAAATCACAATTCAATAACAAGGAAGGATATATCAGTACCCGAGAGCGTTTATTAGGAGTGGACTGACAGTAGTGGAAATGTGGAAAAGGCCGATTTGAATATAAGCTAGCTCATATGGGCCATAACGGGAGCAGACATTTTGCTCAAGTTTTGGTCAACCCTTCTAGTTCATATTTAGATTTTCAAAGACAATATCACAATATAAACTCTAGGAGCCTAGAGAAAGCTAAACCAATGATTTGTTTCAAGCCCTAAGTAGTGAATGTGGCACAAATTACTGAGCCAGAAGAGTTTACTTTTGAATCATTAGGAGCCAGAGCGAGTTGGAGCCAAAATGTTGTCTATGTGCACTTCCCTTTTGGGCTTCAATGAGCTAGCGGGTTAGCATTGTCCATCTGTATACAGTCTATCATCAGTATGCAAGAGCAGTATCTTGTGATCGCACTAGATGTTTGAATAGTCGTCTGTTTAGAATGTAAAAAATATCCTGTATGTTCACGTTCGGAGAATATTGTAATAGAAATAAAATTGCTATATGTGGTATGTTTTGTAATCCTTGTTTTTTTCTTCTCAATGGTTATGCACACATTACTTGTTCTGCCGCCCTCTTAGCAGTTTGGAGGCGCAGGTGCTTTTATTGTAATGTCCCTGTTACAACAAAAATCTAGTTGTTTCTTAAGATATTAGGCAACAGAGAGTAAACCATACATGCACACAAGGACACATGGAGAGACAGAGAGAGACAGAGAGAGACAGAGAGAGATATTCGGCGAAAGCAAGAGATTAACTTTTTCCTCGGGAAGCATGTGCAGCACAGAGAGCCGCACGGAGCGGTCACGGGGACACAAGACCCTCAAACAGCTAAACCAGGAGCTAAACCAGGAATAAAAAACCAGGATTAAACCAGGACTAACAACGAGGGACACAGTGTTAACATATTCCTCCAGCCTCATTCCCCCGTGACTGTAAACAAGGCTGCTAAGGTTGGTTAGCCCACACAACAAATGTATTTATTTAGGTAAAAAAAAGAAAAAAACTCAATATATATTGTTATCGACTGATATGAATGACTTATATCGTGATATAGTTTTCAGCCATATCGCCCAGCCCTAGTGTGTAGTGCCTCAGTCAGATTGAGTGATTCTCAAGAGAATGTTTTTTGACAGCAGGACGTCAAGAAAATTCATCCCCGCTGCTCCTGTGTATGATTTTGAAATAACTTTGTGCGTTGTAAATAGTGAGACTGAAGCTTGTTGATCATTTATAATATTAAAGGCAAAAAAATTGAAAATCAGAGCTGGTTACTTCTGTTGTATGACTGTAACTTATTGTGTTTTTATCTCTCCAGGAAGGAAAAACAATGTACGAACAGGAGCTTTATCACAACTTTTCCATAAGCAGTCCGAGATCCTACTTCATCACATTTGCAGGCGATGTGAGTCAGTTGTAGTATGAAAATCAATGCTTTCCTTATATACGTTGTGAGTGACGCCCCCCGCCTCTGTGTTTCCCATAGACCAGTCAGATCGGCCTCAACTTTGCGAGCGAGGAGGAGGCAAAGAGGTTCCGCGCCGCCATCAACGACCTCCTCAATCGGCGACAGAGGAAAACGGGTAGGTTCCCCAGGTCGGACTCCTGCATCTCGTTTGCTTTAACGCCGGCTGTTGTCCTTAACAATACTAATGCTACATGCACAAGAGCTCATCCCGTTCACTATATCGGCCAATCGGTGCGATACGATTTAAAACTCCTGTCACATCTGTCTTCTGTGACATTTTCCTTTTACCAATCCCCTTTGCATCCGTACTAACCCCGCTTGAACACACCATATTTTGGCTTCTTCTCCTCTTCCAAGTTTGCTTAAGGGCATATCTCGAGGCAGCTTTATATAATGGGTGTAATTTGTCTTTTTGCAGAGAAAAGGAGTGACCCTAGAAATGGTATGTCAAAGCTTAATTCACATTATTGGCTTTTTTTTTTTTTTTTAACCTCTGCATTTCCTTTGAGCGGTCCTTTCTTCTCCTTTCTCAAATTGTAGTCCTTCTATACATATGTAGCACTGCTTGGCTCATTTTGGTGATTATGGCTAGAATTGCTTGCGCGCACACTCAGCCGTAAACACAGCTATAAACACAGCCGTATCGCGGTTGCACCAGTGGCACGGGAGAGCAGCGAGGGTTAAGCTGGTCAGCAGGAAGTCCATCTGCTCCATATGCAGACCACATGCTCCACGCTGCTCCTTTAAACCCTGAGTCTCGCTTTGGGCCTAATCTGTAATCCTCACCACGCCACAGGTGAACTTGTTTTGGTTGATTCAAATTGGCAAAAAAAGACATAGTAGAAAAGGAGCAGTGTAATACAGGATGTGGGGATAATAATAGTAATAATAACCAGGGGTTCTCTGTTTTGTTTGGGCAGAAACAAACCCAGATCTCCACTGTGGGAAACTGTTTAAAGTCATTTTAAGAGTTTGAGTATTGTGCACAATGATCTAATGTGACTTAAGAATGAAATGAAACTTCTTAATCTCGGTTATCATCTCACGACCCCGAACTGGTGTCCCAGGAACCCACGCTTCAGGAAAGTTTATTCCAAAAAAGACCATAGATTAGAGTTGAAGCTTTTAAACCCTTCCAACTGACTCCAAAACATGTCATGATTCAGAAGGAGCAGGTGTGACATCACATTTCCCATCAAACTTTCCAATTAAGGGACTTTGTCATGGAAAATGTCTATAATTTGTTTATAAACGCATCGCCTCATATTCATTTTCCTCTAATTGCAACAATGTGCATTTGGGACGCACAACGCTCATCAGTCTTTAGCCACAGTCTGTGTTGGGGCTGGATATATTTCAGAACTGCCAATGTGACAATAATAAAAGCATTTTATACAGGGCTTTTTGGACACTTTATCAGCTCCATTCACAGTGATGATGGACTACGTAGCCACAGCTGCCCTGGGGCACACTGACAGAAGCGAGGCAACCAGTGTGTGCCATCGGCCCCTCCGACCACCACCAACCATTCACACACACACACCAGACTCATTCTAGGTAATGTGGGTGAAGTGTCTTGCCTCAGGAGACAACAACAGTCTGGCACTTTACAGCCGCAGCCGCCCCACTGTGGCACCTGCTGTTCCCAGAGGTCTCCCAACACAGTTCAGTAAAATACATTACATTTTATTTTTGCACAGCCCTAAATCACAACAGTCTCTGAGGACTTTATAAAGTTGTCCATTCTTCAAAACAGGGAAAGCTTTTCGCCCTTCATCAAACACTGCACCACATTTTAACAAAAATACACTTGATTCATTTACAGTTGATTTATTGAAGACAAATTATTATTTTATCTGAATAATAGAATAATAATACAAATACAATAATACATTTTTTCTCAACAATTTAAAAACAACCGTTATCTCAACATAGATTTTATTTTAATTTAGCACACTCCAAGTTACATTCATCCTCTGTCCCAACGAAATAGATGCACAACCAACTGGATGGAGTCACAAATGGCATGTAGACCTCAGTGATTCTTGTGAAGCCTGTTCGTCGTTTGTAGATACTTTTCAAACTAGGATCTTGTGTTGCAGACTGAACGTTACCTCATAACGGGTAAAAGAGATTCTTCACATACGGTCCGTGATGGAATTTGACATGTACAGGACACCAGGCACTGGTTCTTACTGCAAACACGCTCAGATTAATTACAAAAGAATTTAAGCATAATTCCCCCGATACCGTCAACACACAAGCGGACAAACCTGTATATTGTGTGTGTGTGTGTGTGTGTGTGTTGAGGAGTCGTCGGGTAAACTTTCTCCGTGGCTCTTTCTGACATCGGAGCTGAAACTGGAGACGTGAGGCCTGCGTCTCTGCTCAGGATCCTCTGCTCTCTGTACTAACTGTTCTGTCCCTTTGTCCTCTTTCTCCTCCTCACACCAGCCACAAAAGGCCCAAGTGCATCATGGGTCACTCACAGTTTGCCCCAACACCAAACGATAATCTATAGCAGCACAATTCAAGCAGCATTCTCTCCTTTAAGACCCGCAAAGATTTCCCACTTCGCGTTTCGGGGGCAGAAATAGAGTGCATTTTCAGCAATTCTCTAATTTGATAGTAGCTCTACTCACTCAAAAGAATATGAAATCGCAACTATAATCGGAACCAGGAACTACAATTTTACAAAAAGATCTTCTGCGAGTCTTGATGTGTGCGAGAACTTTGATGTTGGCGTTATGTTCGAGGATCCACATACGACGTCTTGTTCCACCCGTTTCTAATTGTTTCTAATCTTTTCTTATTAACATAGCGCAGGGGTCTCTAAACCTGTTTTCATTGGAGAGGTATACTTTTATGAAACAAATGGCAGAGAGCTACTCCCTTTAGTAGCCGTTCTCCAATTGCTAGTCTATATAATAACTACAGCCAGTCATGGAGACGACACATGCATAATAAACCATTACACCGTACAGTCTCCCGGCAGTAATCAAAAGATGTATTGGTTAAATGGATATGAATGGACTCAAAAGTGAATCATTCAGGATCATGTGATAAGTTCTTGAATCCTTTGGGAAACTACCTGAATGGGGGTGGAGTTGGAGACAGGTTGGAGACCCTTGATGAAGCGCATTTGACAAACCGAGGTCACACAATGAGTTTACAATTTGGGAAAGTTAAGGATAGAATTCTCAATATATCAATGCTGACTCAATCCAAATGTTGCTTCAATACCAAATAGTATGAATTCATCAATACCAAGTGCATTAGGGAGATTTCCTAAAGCCAGACTTCATATACGTTTCTTTAAATTGAATATTAGCAATGAAACTATGTGTGCACAATCACTATAACATACTTCACCTTTCGCGACCTTGCCGTTTTGCAGTTTTTTTGTGTGTGCAAGTTTGAGTGCTTTTCTTACCGCGTGCTTCTTATGTGCCCGTGTGTATTCGTCATAGAACCGCTGATACAAGATGAGTTACCTTTATCAAAGACCAGGTTTTCATGTTGTAATGTGACTCTTGATCAACATCTGATGGAGCAAAAGAAAGCGGTTAATGACTGTTTTCAAGTGTATATATTGTTCAGTCTCTACTTCCTGTTTTTTTTTTTAACCTTTTATCACTTTAGATTTCTCTTGCATGCCTGATAATTACCAAGCTTGCAATTTAAGCTTTACACTTATCTCGTGTGAACGCTAACTCCAACATCTGTTTTTTTTTCTCCACTTGCGCTGATCCCCAACACTTAATTCGTTCTCTGGATTCTGAATCGACAGTATATTAGGAGTGGACTGACTGAGTGTTGACGCATCACCATAGTGTTTGCCGAAGGCCGATTTGAACATAAGCTAGCAGGAGCCAATGTTCTTTTTGTGGGTATTTGTTCTGACGGGGTTAGCTTTGCGCGGTAATTTGGGCAAATGTGTTTCTCATATGGTCACAGATTTTATTATACCCCAAAATGGCATGCCTCAAACCATTACTGAGCACGAGGAGTTGACTTTTACTGTGAGTCAATAGGAGCCAGAGTGAGTTGGAGAAAAACGTCTCTCTTGGGATTCATTTAGCTAGCGGGTTAGCATTGTCCATCTATAACAGTCCATGGCATAACTTGGGAACCAGGCCATTTTAAAACTGCCCTCTCAGGCCTCGGGGGGAGTTCCTCCGTGGTCTTTGATGAGACAGATTTGATGCTGCCGGGATTAACGTTGGTTTAGTGGTGATTTCAGAAGGCCGCCGTGCCGTGTAAAGATTATGAAGATGTGGCAGAGTGAGCAGCGGCGTAAACGAAGCAAAGAGGAGGATGAGGAGGACAGTAATATTGGGATGAATCATTAAACGCTCAGAGCAGACAGATCAAATGTGACACTCAAAGCCACGAGCAGCAATTATTGGATACGCTTGCCCCAGACATTTGTGATAAAATAGTTTGTGCCGGTCTAAATACACATTTTGTTGCACAACCATGTTCTTTTTTGGAAAATCTGCCTTTTTAAGTTTCTTGGTCATGCACTAATGTTGGTCATTTTACAGTCCATCCCTTTCATCATTTATTTGGGATCTTACAATGAAATGAGTGACCCTTATTGGATTATTTGGTGGCATTTTCGCTTCTCAGCAAGAAGGTCCTTGGTTCGAATCCCCGCCAGAACAGGGCCTTTCTGAGGCATGTTCTCCTCGTGTCTGCTCCGGTTTGCTCCGGGTGCTCGGGGTTCCCCACCACTAAAAACATGCACAATGAATTAATGTAAGTGAGTGAATGGATGGTGTTGGTTGGAAAAATATTTGAACTCTGAACATTGTAACGGGGGGTACCTCGGTCTGTCAAAATGCGCTATATAAATTACGTACTTGCTATCATTAATACTGGAAGGATGTTTTTTTTTTTTTTTGTATTGACCACTTATCAACCCGTTTGCACCTGTTGTGGCTCAAACCTAACACCATCAGAACAAATGACCATATAAGGAAATTGGCTCCAGCTAGCTTATGTTGAAATCGGCCTCTTCTACATTAAGGCTAACACTTTGACGTCAGCACTCGGTCTTTATAAAACAAGCCAAGAAAGGCACGTTGCCATAGTAACGTGCGTTGTCTGTGTGCGTTATCCTCGCACGTGAGTGCACAGCCGCAGGAAATTCACTTTATTATTGTGTAGCTCTAAATCAGCTGCAGTTATCTCAGAGGACTTTGTAGAGGATATGAAATCTAAAATTCTAAAACAATACTTGATGCTCTCTTTTAACCCTTGTGGGAATTATAAACGGTAGTGTTTGGAATTATGTGGAAAATGCATAATTACAATTCAGGGGGAGTTTCTAAAAATAAAAAAGGTTATTGTTTGATTACTGAAAGTGTAGAATTGATCTTGAAAGTACCTAACCAGCGATTTGTGGTTATTTGTAAGTATCATACATTTTCTTTTGCACTACTCTTATCTTTTCTTGTTTATCCGCTCACTGCTGCATTGTCCCAGTCTTTCCCTTCTCCAAAGACACACGGAGCGTTGGAAACTCGCTCACGTACAGAAAGTTCTGAGAATGTAAATCATGTCCTCTCCCCCCCTCCCCACTCTCTCCCCGCCGCACATGTGTAGGTCCGGCGCTGCCCATGGCCACAGTGGACATCAAGAACCCAGAGATCAACAACATCCGCTTCCACAACTCTCACCACGGCCACCACCACCACCACCACCACCAGCAGCAGCCGCAGCCGCCCCAGCCGCAGTCCCAGCCCCAGTCCCAACACTACCACCTCAACAACATGCTCAGCCACAGCGCTCTCAACAGGAAGGACAAGAAGAGCAAGGGCAAGAAGAAGAAACTGACCAAAGCCGACATCGGGACGCCCAGCAACTTCCAGTGAGTGCGGCACGGCGGTGCGGGGCCACGTGGGCTCTTGTTTTGGGGGGTTTGGGTTGGGCGAGGGGAGAAGGGGTCCGGTTCTATTGGCCGGCGGATAGCAGCTGTAAACACGCAAATGTCAATGGGAGCTCTGTGCGCCGAGAGGGTGACGTCAGTGAGCACTCATTAGCATCGGCGCGTGGGAGACCGCTCGGACCCCTGCATCCCGGAGGTTTCTGAGTGGCTTTGTGTGGCGCTTATGCAGCAGCCAGCTTTATATTAGATTTGATTTAGATTAATCTTTATTGTGAGTTCAACAACAGACAGAACAATGCAACATTTGGCAGTTTAGCATCTAACCGGTAGTGTTACTACAAGTAAGTATAGGATAACATTTACGACACTGATAAATGTCTACATGTGACTGTACAAAGCTGCTATTGCTAATTTATACATACTACATGTGTATAATACATTAGAGTTTATCTAACCTGCTTTAACAGGGTGAGAGTTCAGGAGAGTGACTGCTCCGAGATCAAAAACTGTCGTAGCCTGCTGGTCCAGAAAACCATCACTTTTAATATTTGTTTTTTTGGGAGTTAGTAGCATAATCAAAACCAACAGACTGCAAAAGTTCAAGATGTATACTTACTTTGGAGAGGGCAATATAATACCATTGGCTTTAACACAGGTATAGTTTTTGTTTCTGTATGAAATTGAAATAAGGCGATAGCATTTGTACGTTTGCGTACAAATGCTCTGGTGATTTTCTCTTTGGTCTGAGCGCGTGTGAAGTAACGGCGGCTTGTATCTTTTAGAAGTGCTGTCCACTGTATATTTGTATATTATCTGTACATTTGTAATTGCAACCCTCTGCCCTGTTCCTCCTCAGACACATCGGTCACGTGGGCTGGGACCCGAACACCGGCTTTGATGTGAGTTCTGTCCTCAGCGCTGAGTGTGACGTAACCAACAATAGGCCTCTTTTGTGTATCTCTCTTTCTCTCTTTCTCTCTCTGTGTCTCTCTCATTTAAAACAAGTAATAGCTGGCTGTTTTTTGTGGAAAGTTAGAAAAGAAGAAAATTAGTTTAATTACTGTGTGTTTGGATTAAACCAAAAGTGGAACAAACTGGCCAATTATTATTGTTACATTAGTTCCATGTTTGTGTCCTTGGGCAAGACACTTAACCCCACTTTGCCCAAAAGCCCCCACTGAAAGATTTCAGCTCCTGTGGACTCACCACCTGCAGGAGGATCAGTGAGGGGCTGGTGCTCTGTGGACTGGGTGCAGCTCTGACTGCCACCCCCCTGACCCAGAAATGGATTAAGGGGAAGAAAATGGATGGATGGATAGTTCCATGTTGGGTTAAAATAAATCAAAGAAATAAAATCAAATGGGCTATACCATGCCTAAGTAGCCTTATAAACATATCTCCATCAATGCTGCAAGTTGATCAGAAATGCAAATCAGTTCAGGGGCCACTAAAAAGTTAGTTTTAATCAGATTACATTTTATATGAAGGCACACTGCAGGTATTCTTGACCACCACCAGAGGGCACTAAAAGACTGCAGCATCCGTAGAAACTGTAGCACTGCCACCAATCAACACTGATTACTTTCTGATCATTTCCTCTTTTGTCTCGCTGTGACTGTAGTTGAATAACCTGGACCCCGAGCTGAAGAACCTGTTTGACATGTGCGGGATCTCGGAGGCGCAGCTCAAAGACAAAGAAACGTCGAAAGTCATCTACGACTTCATCGAGAAGAAAGGGGGAGTGGAGGCTGTGAAGAACGAGCTCCGGAGGCAAGGTGAGGGCCCAGACTGGAGTCGTCCTGAAGGAGCCATGTCTCTGTTTACCAGACCATGCCAGACCAGACTATCAGAATTCAACAGGAAGTCACTGAGTAGGAATTTGCTTCGGCTCAAGGTGCAAACAATTTATGAAGGAAAAATATAAACAAGACATGCAACAACATGCGCACAGTACTTTGGTTTGGGAATGTGGATGTTAGCTGTGACTTCTTCAAAGTGGAAGAGAGCTCACAGTTTTCTTATACTTTCATTACTTGCTGGACGAGAAGCTGCTACTTTTTTTGAGTTCTTTGATACCTGCGGCCTACTTTGAGATGCAGCCAATGTATGTGTTATTATGGTGCAGGAAACTAAGAGAGGAAATGCATGGAAATACACAGGATTCAATAGGGCTGTTGTCAGGGCACAATTTATGTACTCACTAATTTGGCTCCAAGTTTTAGCAGCCATAGGACGCTTGTTTATTGTCTTGTTATCCATCCATTTTCTTCCCCTTTGCCAGTTAAGCATGCTGACACCTCATCATTAAATCCTTTTGTGATCGGTGAAATCACTGCTTTGCTGCTCTATTAGCTGTTAGTTACTACACAAAAACTTGCAACCTATATGTAGACAATTGTTACCTTCTTGTGAAATGTAGCTGGTGGGGTTCATTCAATTCAATGTTCTTGTGTAGCCTAAATCACAACAGTAGTCATCAACAAAACACTAATCAGAGAATCAATAGTAAAGACACAAAAAAATGTAGACCACATGTTGATAAATGTCCATACATGTTGTAGAATGTTAAAGTGTCCTGGATCATCATCACAGTCCTCTTTGTTAGACACTAACTGTCCAACAGAGCCTCCTGCATCGGCATTGAAAAATTCATAAGAAAAACTCACAAAAACTCGGTGGGAAAAAAGTAAGAAACTTCGGGGAGAATCACATTGAGAGAGGGATCCGCTCCACACAGACGGACGGGCTGTAGATCCAGGACCTAAGCTACAGAACGAGAACCAAGGCCACGCAGCTGTTGTAGAACGAGGACATGTGCGGTGCAGGACAGAAGCAGCTCCAGGCAGGGTGTGTGCAGCCAGGTGTAGATAGAGGGGGCCAGGTTTACACTGTATATACAGATGCACTTAAAAGTCCAGCAAGTACTGTAGTAAGTGATCATAGATTATAACTCTGTAGTAGACAGAAAAACTATATATGTTTTGTTCTGTAACGTTTTATTGGATTGGTTTTAACTAGGGCTGATGATCTGTGATGCCATCCTGACAATACGACGCCTTACGCACAACATACTGCTACTTCACTTATTTCCACTTGCGATTTCACTTATTCCGGGTTGTTTTTTTATTCCGGTCTTGTAGTTGAAATGAGTGGCGTTTTAACAGCAGCACAAGGGCGAGTGTAAGAACTTTCTTTTGGAGAAATCCTTGAACAACAAAGCATGGCATTTTGACACGTCGCTGCTGGATGCACTGGTGTCTGCGTTTGGACACGTATCGAGGCTGAGTGCAGATGAAACACTGTTCTTAAGGCGGCTTTTATTTCCGGTGACAGTTGCTCTGACCGCTGTCTGGCCATGTTTTATTCATGCGGCTCCGACAGCAGCACGATGGAGGTGTGAGGCTGAGCGGAATCCAAAACCTAGTACTTGTATCTTAATCTTACCCTTTTATATTTCAGAACTACTTCAAATGGGTTGTTTTTGTGGGTTTCGCTGCTTTCACCGTGTATTTTAAGGACATTTCTTGCAGGTCAAAGAAGTGGAAGTGGTATGCACCTGAACACAGACACTTGGATGTTTTTGTAGTTTAAAAGCATTTGCACGCTTTTATTCTCTTGGTTTTGATATGCAGACTTGTAGAAGCAGGAAACAAGAGAGGACTAAACAAGAAAGGTCTCGGAGTTCAGTCATTGGTCTTTTGCTCTCTGTTCACCTCGGAAGCAAATGGAACAGGCCACATTGTCAGATTTCTTGTTTTTTTTAATGCTGTTTCTTTGACTTCCATCTACCATAGTTCTCTACTTCATACTCCAGACCTGTGGGTTGTGACCATAGACTGTATCAAGATGGACAATGCTAATCAGCTAGCTCAATGAAGTCCAATAGGGAAGTGCAAAGTAGTTTTTCTCTAACTCGCTCTGGCTCTTATTGGCTTATTGAAATGTAAACTCCTAGCACAGTAACCGTTTCTGTCACACCAGTTTGGGCTGAACAATCTGTGGTTTAGTGTTCTCTGTGCTGTATAAGTATTGACCAATCCGATGCCTTCATTTGCAGAGAAAACTCTTGCTTACCTGAGCAACTGTCTCCTTCTGTTCCCTGCTGAGAGAAATGCCCATATAAGGGAATTGGCTCCAGCTAGCTTAAGTTCAAATTGGCGTCTTACTAATTAATGCTAACACTGTCCATCTGTGTACAGTCTCTGTTACTCACACATGTTTTTTTTTCTCCCTTCAGCGCCTCCTCCTCCCCCATCGCGTGGCGGAGCTCCTCCCCCTCCCCCTCCTCCCCCCCATCACACCACGACAGCGCCTCCTCCTCCCCCGCCTCCGTCCCGGGGCAGCCGCGGCGCTCCACCACCTCCTCCGCCCTCCCGAGCGCCCGCCGCCGCCCCGCCTCCCCCTCCGCCCTCTCGGCCTGGAGCTCTCGGGGCTCCTCCTCCTCCTCCCCCTCCACCGTCACGCGGCCACCAGCTCCACCACCAGCCTCCCCCTCCGCCTCCCCCGTCACACGCTCACCACACCCCACCTCCTCCGCCGCCGCCTCCGTCGCAGCAGCAGTCCTCTCCAGCAGCCCCGCCTGCCCCACCGCCACCTCCACCTCCACCCCCAGGACCGCCTCCACCCCCAGAGATGGACGGGGGAGGGGGGGACAGCCCTCAGTCACCCGCCCCGCTGGGAGGGGGAAAGTCGGCCCTGTTGGAGCAGATCCGAGGTGGGACGCAGCTCAAGAAGGTGGAGCAGAACAACAAACCGGTGCCCGCCTCCAACACGGGACGAGACGCTCTGCTGGACCAGATCCGACAAGGAATCCAGCTCAAGACCGTGAGTGTCCGGTCGCTGTGTTCATGTGACATCACAACATCCCAAAGTGCTTATAGTTTAACATGTGGATCAGAGCAGCTGTCAATAGCCAGACTCTTTGTTTTGAGCTAATTTATCCAATTCCTGGAACAATCACCTGAAACAAAAAGTTCCACTTCTCTCTTTGGTCTCTCTTTCTCTATATATCTCGCCCCAGTCTCTCTCTGTCTCTCTCTGGTCACTCTTGGTTCTCTTTCTGGTCTCTCACTGGTCTCTCTCTGGTCTCAGTGCATATCACTGTGGTCTCGTTATTTTCTCAAAGATGTCTAGAAGTGGAGATATTTTAAAAAACCTATGCATGATGTTTGCCACTAACAGAAGAATACTAGAGCAGCTTTGCAAATCTAATCACTATCAAATAAGGATTTAGGTAAACAGGACAGAGAGAGTGGTTTCCCAGAGAGATGGTGAGAGACATTGTCCAGAGAGGGAGCCCAGAGCCCAGACATTCCCAGGGAGAGTGAGAGAGAAAAGTTGCCCAGAGAGGAAGGGGGAGAGAGAGGGAGCGAGAGAGGGAGTAGTTTCCCAGTGAGTAATAGTCCCGCACTGTTGTTTAATAGGCCCTTCCCCCGGTGGCACAGATGGAACTTGTGCAAACTGCATTTAAGTTAGTGACTAATTACTCGCTCTACTGCACTTTGATCACATCTAGAATCATGCCTTCACTCTACCGCTTTTTTTCTTTTTTCCCTCCTACCACCTGCCCGCTCCTTCCCGCCTCTCCACAGGTGTCCGATCTGCCCGAGTCCAGTCCCCCCACCGGGGCGCCCACCGCAGGCATCGTGGGCGCGCTCATGGAGGTCATGCAGAAGAGGAGCAAAGCCATTCATTCTTCAGGTAAACTCACTTTTTTTTCACTTTTTTTGGCCCACGCTTACACCTCATTCAAATTAACCCACGGCTTTCTCCCGCAGACGAAGACGAAGACGACGACGAGGATGAAGACTTCGACGACGACGATGAATGGGAGGACTAGGCACAGAACTCTTTGAACTCTTCCACGAACGGGAATCCACTACAATATAATGTAAATGTCGTATGAACTCACCGTATATTTATTTTTTCGCCTTTTTTTTTTCTCTCCTTGTTCCTTCTTTGTTTTATGACCATTTAACCCGTGCAATACCTCATCCGTTTAAAAACCCGTGCACCTCTCCTTCACCCGTCCTGCCGCGGGACGTCCAGAAGAAGAACTTACCCCCCATCGTCTCCGTTTTGTAAAGAATACGGCATACTTGAAATGCTTATATGAAGTAAAAAAAAAAGAAAAAGTGGGAGATAGTTTTAGTTTGACTTGTTTAGTTGGTTTTTTTGTCATTCCTTGCAAAAGAAAAGGGATTGAACCTGACCAAAAAGCGGCACAAAAGCCCAGTTTCCACCAGCCTTACTCTACTCTACTCTACTCTTCTCTAGAATCTGCTCTGGTCTGCCCTACTCTACTCTAAAAATCTACTCTACTCTAGAATCTACTCTACTCTTGAATCTGCTCTAGAATCTAGTCTACTCTAGAATCGGCTCTGGTCTGCCCTACCCTATTCTACTCTACTCTGTTCTCTTCTGTTGCGTTTACATTACGCTTTAGTATCTGGTGCCGTAGCCTAGCAACCTAGTCACAACAAACCAGTACCCAGGGAAAATCTATGGTAACCATGGCTTCCAGCAGCACCTTTTAGTACCGGCTCAACCTGGATAGAACCAGGGCCAAGAGGAAGTAGGGTACAGTAGGGTAGGGTAAGGTAGGTGGAGATGAGGCTGAAAATAAGCTGCAATGTGAGAACGCTAATAATAGTCTTTTTGTCTGGAATTATAAACAATAGACCTTGTTTTTAAACTTTTTTTTTTTTTTTTTTGCGACCAGTCCTCGAGGCGTCCGCTTCGACTAGTCTTCTATTTTTATGTATTCGTTTGCACAGTTTCTATCCAGTTCTTGAGTGTGTTTAATTTCTTTCTTGCGTGTTTGTCCAAGGAACAGCCGCCTTGAGTGTGTGGTTGTTTTAACGAAGGCTGGAAGCAAAACATGACTGACAAACCAGAGACTTTAAATAGGCATCGGGACAGCTGGTGGTCGGACGGTGCCGCAAGTTAATACGCAAATGTTACCCAGAAATCTTAAAATCATCCTGTCACTACATTATTACACTACATTTAAAGCTGGGGTACACAACTTTCTAACATGCAAGAATTAGTGAAAATCTGTCAAGTTCCTCTCTCTAAACACTTTGGTTCCGTCACAAGTTTTCACGTATGGGTATTTTTGGCCTCTGTCACTTCTTCTCGTCGGCTTTTTCAGACAGAAAAGGGAACAAGAGAGGACGACCCCCTCTCAGCCAATCAGCTCCAAGCCCACAGTGTCAAAAAGTGACTCATGGCGCTCTTCCTTACACAAAAGCTAAAATGTATTCTAATGGCATGTTGTGGTCTGATTTGTGCACATTTTACTTTCTGTCGGGATCATAGACTGTATAAAGACAATGATAATCCGTAAGCTCAATGAAGCCTAATAAGGAAGTGCTCATGGATCAAGTTTTGTTCCAACTGATCTGTCTCCTATTGACATGCATTGATCAGTAAACTCCAAGCTCAGTAACAGTAACGCTCGCCATTTTGGGCTTTGAAAAACATCAGTGGTTTAGTGCTCTCTGTGATCCTGGTGTTTATATTTTGATTTTGTCCTTGTATATCCAGATATGAGTCGTTGAATGATTGACCAATCAGATGCCTTCATTTGCGAGGGAAACTCCAGCTTGCCTTAGCAACTGCCTTAGCAACACATAAAAAATGCCCATATAAGGGAATGGCCTCCAGCTAGCTTACGTTCAAATCGACTTCTTCCGCATTAAGGCTAACACTATGGTGACGTCGCACTCGGTCAGTCCTCTCCTAATGTACGATCTATGGTAGGGACAAAAAAGTTAGGTAACCCAGCTTTAAGAGAAGGCTGCTCTGCTTACACTGGCAAATGGCTTTTAAAAATCTAACAAAACAATGCTATCTATGCTTCTTTTGATATTTCTGCAAAAGCATTTATTGCCGATTAAAGTTACTCTTGCCAAAATAGCCACACACTGTTCCATGCCTATATAAGACCATTGCAAAAACTATATCATTTTTATATACTCGTTACTTTTTCCTGTTACAGCTGTTCTCCGGTCAGTATTTCAAATAGTGTCGCAGTATAATAAGTAATATGGCAGAATACTATAGAGAAATGTTACTGTTCCTACTCGTCTCCTGTCTATGATTTAAACGAACTGTACCATGTTATGCAAAGTGACTGTAAAAAAACAAACAAAAATCCTCCCGATGCGGAGAGAGAAAAAAAGCAAATAACAGATGAACCAAAAGCGCGAGCGGCTTCAGCGACGCCCGCGGGAACGGTTTTAACTGTTGGTCCTCACGCCGAGGCCTGATGCTGCATCCTCAGATATCCACTTATACCTGACATTGATCCTGTGAATGGGGCGGGGCGGGAAGGGGGGAGGGGCCAGAATACTAAATTGTATACTTAAATAAATGTTAATATTTACAAAGATGATGTCTGGTTTTTTTTTGGCTTATAGTTTTGGCGTTGTATTGAGAAGAGAGACATATGTACAGATGTTTTTATAGAAACTAAACTAAAAAAATTATACTTGGGCATTATTCTGGTTTAAGTTATAATAATTCTTAACTATATGTATGGTAAGTATTCAAAATAACCATAGAAATTTGCAGTATGTACGTTTAAAATAGTTTGTGTCACTCACATATTTGGACTTGAAAAATCTGGGGTTGGGTGCTCTGTGATCCTGGTCTTTATGTAAATCCAGGTATGAGCCAAAAGGATTGACCAATCAGGTGCCTGCATTCGTAGCTTCTTCTGCATCCAGCAATTCAATTCAATTTGTTCTTGTATACATCACAACAGTAGATATCTCGGACTTTGCAAACCCGTTGAATTCGCCAACATGGATCAGAATCAACACAAGAAATGCAACTGGACCCTCTAACAGACCCTCCTGCATCGGCAAGGAACAACTCTAAAACCCAGTGCCGGGAATAGGTGTTAAAACTCAGGGAGGTATTGAGCAAACACTATGGTAATGTCAGCACTCGGTCGGTCCACTTCTAAAATTATATAGACTTTAAAACAAGGATTGAAAATGTTATTTATTTCATTGAAAAATCCATGGAAGGCTCTACCACAATAGAAATCAGCAACCATATACACTATTTAATTAACTCCGCCCGTTTAATGAAAAAAGTTGCAGTTTATAGTCCGGCAATTACTGTATAAGTAAAAGTTCTTCATTTGTATTGGTTTTGGTAGCTAAGGCCACATATTTAAGAAGAGTAAAATGGTTTAAATGGATTTGTTTTCATTGCACAAACTGGATACAGAAAATAAATCTACTTCATTCTATTATTTGTGGTAGAACTGTTTGAGGTGGAGATCTCTTGATCCCCGTTTTGTTTTTTTAACCCAAATGCTACTGGTGGTTTTAACTTTCTACGGTGTTGTGCTGAAAGTGTGCGCTCCAGCAAAGCTACAAACTGCTTAAAGTACATCTGATCCGTACAACTCAGGCCTCTGTCGGGTCGACTGCAGCTGGAGACCCAATGGACTTCTTTCAAGACATGTTTTAAACCCCACACTGGTTCAGCATCTTACTGTATTTTAATATTGAATGAGAAAAGTGGTCCAGGAATCTGTAAGCAAACCTGTGTCAAGCTAAAAATCTACTTTTTATTTTTTGTTTACACAGTGACTTAAACACAAAGAATGTACAACACTGATGCATTCTGTGTAGGTGAGTGGTAAAAAAAAAATCAAAAACGAGTGCTTTTAAATACAAAAGTTCAACAAGTGGAGGCTGTGTCTTCAGGTCTCTGACAAATCCACCTGAAATAACAAAATTACAATTAAATTATATACAAAGAAATATCTTTACGAAGACAACCCAAAGTTATATTCTAAAACCTTTGCCTAATGTTCTATAAAGATATTTTGCTCTTTCAGTAATCAGTCATTTTGAGATTTCCCGTCCGCCTCGTTATCAAACTGAGTGAAGAAGTGTCTCTATTTTTATCGTGTGCAAGAGCGGAGGATTCCACAGACTGACGGCTCCTGTCGACTGATTTTGATGTGTCCACTTCAGGAACAAAAGCACCATTTTACAGACGGAACCCTGCTTTCTTTTGTAGTCATTTTATTTCTCTAAATCAAGAACTGTATGTATGGTGAGTGAGTAGGAAAATTGAACAAATATACGCCACAGGTTTTAATGTTATAATGTTAAAACCAACTTAAGCCAGTATATTTTGACATTAAACATGCCCCCATTACTTCTAAAACTTTAAGGCTAAACTCGGTTCTGACTATAGCCATAATCACATAAAAAAACAAGTCCTGTGTATTTCCCTGCACTTCCTTGTAACGTTCTGCTGTTCACATAAATGAATCAGGAAGCAGGAATGTGTGCCACGTAACCATTTTTGGACACTATTAAATGAAAAGATGTATACTTTGGCCACATCTCAATCCAGGCCGCAGGGTTCAAATCACCATAAAAACAGGGCGGCTTATAGTCCGGCTATTATGGTACTTTTATAAATGGGCCAAGGCTATCCGACCAGCCTTTTTGCAAGCATAATGTAGATGATGATGAACTTTGCCTGGGAATGGTCTCTACAGTATGAGAATAAGACATCCATTGTTATTTGGAATAGTTGCTAAAAAAATGTGTTTCCCAATTATGTATTGTAAAACACGACTTTACGAAAACCTCCTTGCCTTAGCCGATTTTAGCATGGCACCCAGCCTGTTTATAGATGAATGATGCTAACCTGCGACCTCAAGGAAGCCCAATAAGGAAGTGCTCATGGACAAAGTTTTGCTATCTCCTATTGACAGGGAAAAGTAAACTTCTCTCGCTCAGTAACCGTTTGTCACGCTCACCATTTCACGTTGAGAAATCCCTGGTTTATCCTCTTTGAAAATCAAGGTATTTGAAACTTAATGATTGACCAATCGGATGCCTTAATACCAGGGGCAAACTGCAGCTTGTATTAGCCCCCGTCCTAGCAACTTGTCTGTCCCTGCGATAAGCAATAATAATAATTGAAACTAATAAATGAAATCAGGAAAATTAGAATACAGTTCACATTTTTTTTTTTCTTACAATGTATCATATAGATAGGAGTCAGAGTGAGTTATAGTAAAACTTCATCCATGAGCACTTCCCTACTGGGCTTCATTGAGCTAGCAGGTTAGCATTGTCCATCAATAGACAGTCTATGATCCACACCAAGATTATAGAACATCTCACAGCAGGCGGAGCATCCTCCATCAGAGAACTGTCTTACACTTTTCTTACCCTTTTCAGTGCGAAGATGCTGCTCCCTCTAATGGCCGCCATCAGATCATCTCTCCCAGACCTCTGCGGCAAAGGCAGGCGGGACAATTCTTCTCGTCGTTTTGCCGACGGCTTCAGATTACTCCTTAACTCGTTCAAAATGTCCTCGCTCTCCTTTTCATTGGCGCCATTTTTCAGCTTCTTCGTCTTGGCTTTCCTGATCTGGGTATTGTTGCAGACTTCTCGCTGCCTGACCATCTCCGCGATCTTCCTCGTTGGCACTTCTTGGTTCAAGGAAGTTGGACTCTTTTTGAGTTTTTCTCCAGTTTTCCCCAGTTGCGTCGGCTTTTTCTGGGACCGATGTTCTACTGCTTGGCTCGAAACTGGTGCAGCCACTTCACAATCCTTTCTTTCTTGCTGCCTCTTTTGCCTTTGACGATCTTGGTTGCGCGTTAAAATGCTCGTTGCCGCCATTCTGGGCCCGGGTAGCTCAAACTGGTAACCGAGCTTTAGCAACGTAAAATTCTCTCTTAGCATCTGGACCATCTCCATCTCCACTTTCCCACCACAGATGTGCCTTTGGTTGTGAAATCTGAGCTCAACTATAGCCTGATTTTTCCGCAAAGCCCCCACTATTGCTAAGATACCTTGTCCCGACACAAAATTAGACTCAATGTTCAGGTTCTTTATCGAGCTATTTTCTTGCAGCATCTTGGCGATAGCGAACGCCACTCTATCGTCGGCATGGGTATTAGCCAGACTGAAGAATTGAACGCAAGAATTCGCACAAAGGGCTTCCGTGAACCGCAGTAAAACATCTTGGGAAATGTCTTCTTTGTTGTTGAGATTGACTTCGAGCAAGGTCGGGTCATTCTTCAAAATCTGCTCCAGGGCCGTATCTATGACGATGGGGTTTTCGCTCGGTTTGTCTGCGTTTAGCGTTGGAAAATCGGTGTTGCTTTTTGGTGGAGTGACTGCTTTCGTTTTGGTCTCCCTCGTGCATTTCTGGTCGTCTTTTGCGGAGCCGTTTTGCTCGATGAGTTTCTTGTTTTTCTGCGTCAGCCTTTTCTTCTCGTTGTTCTTGGGGGCCGGCTTGTTTGCGTTGGTTGGTTCTAGCTCCCTCCGGAGGCAGCTCTTATCTCGCATCTCCTTCTGGACACAATGACAGGATATAAAATTAGACCCAAGCTTTGACATTCTGCAGCATCTGACTTATAAGCAGCCACTTTGATGAAAAGCTGGCATTTCTCTCGTCATATTTTTAGACTCTTTCAGCCGACAAGCGCGGGGCTGAGGACTTCTAACATGTGCAAAGCAGTTCAGAGATAATATTTGACTAAGCCAGAATGAATCAAATCCATTCATTTGATACATTATACATATATTCTCAATTAATATTCAATCAATGATCTTATGAATGAATTGTTGATTGATTGATATACTTCCATAAGGAGACAGTTTGTTGCTGGTAAAGACCAAACAGACAGATTGGCAAAAAATGGTAAAATCTAATACTGATCCTAACCATAACCCAGGATTAAACACCTTTTTAAACAGTTGCCACATAATTCTCTAACATTTCTGACTCCAGGATATTGACGCACTCTATAAGCGGAGGTGGTAAACTACTATCGTTGCCACATCTGCTCTGGGGCGGAGTGATTGAAGCGAGTCTTCTCTTCCGTGCTATCGACCCCTCCAACCACCACCTGCATTCACTCACCAGTCATACTGTGAGCCGCAGCTGCCCCACTGTGGCACCTGGTGTTCCCAAAGGTCTCCGATCATAGGACTAACCCCGGGAAAGCCTGACCTTTGACTACGAACTAATATGGAGTCATTTTGATTTCAAATATAATTTATTTAGACTTTATTAGGGACTCCTATGCAAGCACAGGAACCATAGCTTATACTATATAGATATACTTATAGATGTGCTAATCATAGACCAGGGGTGTCATTCATGCGGCCCGCGAGCTGGATCAGGCCCGCCAAGAGATATGATACGGCCCGCGGCTCGTTTATGTAAAATGATATTAATAATAAAAAATAAAAATAAAACTCCTCCAGAGTGGTGCTGAAGGAATAACATCTTAAACTACGAGACTCGGCGAAAAATACGGCACTTTGAGCGGAGAATTGAGAAGACAGAAGATAAACATGTCGGGCCTGAAGAAACAGCGTCTGTTTGTGCCAAGAGCGAGAGGTTAGTTCTGCTGCTGTAAAGGGAAGCTACCTGTGTGCTAAAAACATTAACATTATCATTCCAGCCGCACAGTGAGAGAGTTTGTTAGAACTCTCAGGCTGCTGACAGGGTCTGAGAAACCACACGCTGTCACCAACATGTTGTCATTGATGAGAGACTGATGTTACTTATGTCGCTATTCATTTGAAGTTTTACTGTAACTACCACAGAGGAGTTTTGAGCGCTGCTGGTTCTGCTGCTGCTGGTTCTGCTGCTGCTGGTTCGGCTGTTGCTGGTTCTGCTGTTGCTGGTGTGTTGGACAGTGTGGGCTGGTCCTGTGCTGTCAGCCTGGTACCGATGGTAAAGCAGGGGTTGTGACAAAGCTGCAAATGGAGGTGATGATTTTTGGACGTTTGTATTTTACAGAGTCGTTAAGAATAGATCCCGTTATGGAAATTTTTTTGTTAATTTCAACTGAATCAGGGTCAGTTTGATGCTTTCTCTCTGATGATAATGAGGTGCTGTGTTAAAGTGCTTTTTTCTATCTACCTACTTTATCTTTGTGAGCAAGTTTTCTCTGTAATGAGCCTTAAAACAACGCTAACATACAAATATTAATATAAATATTGTGAAATGCCATTTACAATGTAATATTGTACACACAATACATTACATTATTTTGTACTATGAAAAACTCTGTTACATTTAAGTTTGTTACAGATTTACAGTTAAAACTGAGCGAGTATTAAAGGACAGTGTTTCAAAGGAACTTTTATATAAATGTGTTTATGTGCACAAAAAGTTGGACTTTGTGCCGTTTTTGAGCATCTTCTGGTCCGGCCCACTTGAGATCCAATTAGGTTATATTTGGCCCCCGGACCAAAATGAGTTTGCCACCCCTGTCATAGACCATGTTTAAATAGACAATGCCAACCAGCTAGCTCATCGAAGTCCAATAGGTTGTTCTCCATTTCGCTCCGGCTCCTATTGACTTTTACTGAAATGTAAACTTAGCTCAGTAACCTCTTGTGTCAATCTCACCATTTTGGGCTTGAAAAAAAAAAAATCAGTGTTTTAGCACTCTATGACCCTGCTTTTTTTGTAAATCCAGATATGAGCCTTAAAACAATAGACCAATCACGCAATCAGATGCCTTCGTCTGTGGCCGTAGTAATAGCCATAGCAACCACCCAAGTGATTCATCTGAATTGTGAAACTATTGCCATCAGAACAAATGCCCAAATAAGGAAATTGGCTCCAGCTAGTTTATGTTCAAACCGGCCTCTTCCACATTCAGCAAACAGAATGGTGACGTCAGGACTGAAATACGGTTTATGGCGTTAAGCAGTGTAACTTTTGTCTTTTAAATGCTTATTATTATGCCAACGGGATCCAAATAAATGAATAAACTAGGCCCTGCCCTGCTTAACATCTGAGGTCAGGCTTTCACACGCAGCCCTCATCACCTGGGTTGTTTTAGTCTCCTCATGCTCCTCCTGGATCAGTTTCTTGTTCTCCTCCTCCCAGTACTTGAGCAGGGCCTCGCGGCTGAAGGTCCCCCCCGGGGCTTTGGCCGTCTGGTCCTTCTGCCTCAGCCCAATGGGGACATCCGTGTCGGGGTCCAGGGTGTCCAGCTCCTGCTCCAGCTCCTGGATCTCCTCCACGGACAGAGAGGCCAACACCTCGTCCTCATCCACCTCCTCGTACCTCCTCAGCTCACGGCGGTAACCAAACATGGTCCCAACTGATGGAGGAAAGAGACTGTTTACATGAGACTGGAAGTAAGTGGTAAGTAAATATATCTGCATTTGGTCACATTTATAAAGCACTTTTCAACCCTTTTCAAGGCACTCAAAGATCTTCACATCAAGGCAACCAATTACCTATTCACACTCATTGATCTACCATTGTACGCAGAGACTGAGGGCGAGACAGGTTAAGTGTCTTGCCTAGAGACACGCAGCTGGCTCCATGTTCCAGTCCACATCCAAAACAAGGTCCTCCTCCTCACCGACAAGTCCCTCCATAACTTGGCCTCCTCCTACCTCGCAGACCTGCTCCATATTCATTGTCCTACCCGCTGTAGAGGAGACTCCCATCTCCTCTAACCTCCCCTCAGGTTTAAACACTGAATCTGGGGGGGGACCGAGTCTTCACCGCTGCCACTCTCTGGAACTCACTCCCACAACCATCAGAAACTCAGACTCACAAGACTGACTACAGAACTTTAAATTACTTCTAAAAATAAGATAAGATAAGATAAGATAAGATTGCTTTATTTATCTCACAGAGGAGAAATTTACATGTCACATTTGGCATGGATAGAGACACTCAGATTGTGCAAAGGGAGGAAATGTGCAAACATGTTACATCTGTAAATCTGTTCCACTTTGCTTTTCCTTGTTTATTTGTATGTTTTTGAGTGTCCAAAAAGCGCTATATATGTTTGATGTATTATTATTTGTATTATTAGCAGCAATCCCCAATGGGAGCTGGATTTAAACTGTCAACCTTTCAGCTCAGAGGACACACCCTCATCCAACGGAGCTACTTAAATGTTAGCATCTCATGTGAGCAGCACGTTGTTCTTTACTGCTATGCACAGAAAATGTGTCTAAAATATACTCGTAGGTAACTGCAGAGTGGGAAAAGCTACTACATGCACAGAAAACAAGCTATGCTATATTCATACATGACGTTTTTTTTTTTTTAAATAAAGATTGATCAATGTCAGAACAGGAACTGATACAAATGTTCAAATAACAACCTATACTGTCTAAAGCCTTGTTTCCACCATCCCGACTTGGCTATACCCTACGCTACCTGGTTTCATTTCTGCTCCCGTATCCTAGCAACCTCTCCACAACAAACCAGTGTCTGGGGAAATTTCTTGGTAACCATACCTTTCAGCAGTACTCTGGCCAATCTCTGTCAGATACACCACTTTAGTATCAGCTCGGCCTGGATAGAACCAGGACCAAGAGGGACTAAAGAGGATCCACAAAGAGCCTGTGGGAGCGTTCCCCAATCAGGATAAAGTCGAGTCGAGCTGGTGGAAACAGGGCTCAGAGTAACAACAGCAGCTTTGTGTGAAATGTACAAGTTAAGGCAATAACTAAGATTTGATGCGGTTTATAGTCCAGCGTCTTCTGTGGTTATTACAGACAACAAAATACTTGGCAATGATCCAAATCCAGCCCGCAAGACCATTTTTTGTGGCTCCTAGAAGGATTTACAATGATCATTTTCACAGTAACTTGCAGCATTGTTCGTTATGGGCTACAATGGCATGTTATACTTCAGTTTAAAACCAATTATCTCAGTAAAACAACCATATAACTGATGATGTTATATCAATCAAAATGAAATAATTTAGAGTTACTTCATTATAATTTTTTAATATTTAACTATCAATACATCTCTTAGTGATATTTGACCCAGTTCTGATTTAATGCAAACATGGTAGAAAATAATATCCAAACTCATGCCAAATGCAATACATTTGTCAAAAGACAAAAATATAGATATACAGTTAGTACTTTATCACAAGGGTCTGAAATTTGTTTTGAAGAAAAAAAAGTGAACCCACTTTTTTGCTTTTGCCTCCAACCAGCTCTTGTGTCTTTAAAAACTGGCCCCCAACCAAAATGAGTTTTCACTTTAAAACAATCCCAACAACCTGCCAGAAGCACTCACTACACAATCGAGCAGAAATTGCCGCACAAACCACTCTATATCTCCACTCACCTTAAAGCAAATACTTTCAACAGGAGTGGTCCATGCCCGGTCTGCTGAGGCTGGGCTGTGCATCAGTGTCCTGCAGCAGGGATCTGAGACACAAAGCAAACTCTCTCCCTCTCAGTCTCTTCCCTTCTCTACCCCACAAGCTTTTTTTAGTACGGCGGGCATCAGAGGTCGGCGTGGTAATCTCTGCGCTGGAATGCAAGGGCTGCGATTGGCCGAACACAAAGGAACTTGCGAAACTTGCAGGGAGTCACTGGGGGGAACGCACGGGTTATATAAGTAAAGAGGAGACGCATTTGTCGTCCCAGAGGAAGAGTCGGGAATGTCCAGACGAGTGGTGATTGGAGTTGTTGACACTGCTGCCAAACAACACAAGAGGTGGTGTGTGTGTGTGTGTGTGTGTGTGCCATGGACCAGGGGTGTCGGACTCATTTTGGTCAGGGGTCAGATTTAAAAACATATAGATAGATACTTCATTGATCCCCCATAGGAAAAAATTGGTTGTCCAGCAGCAGAAGACTGTTTGTTGTTGTTGTACAGTCAGTCAGGTTTGTTGCCGAAGGAACAAACGATCTCTTGAAGCGTTCCGTTCGGCAGCGTAGTGATAGGAGCCTGTTGCTTCGATTACTCCTCTGAGCGGCCATATTGTCATGCAGTGTCTGGAGTTACCTAGTTACCCATACAAGCTGGTTGGGGCCAAAAGTATTGTTCGACATGAGTTTGTACACTTTTTTTTCTGGTAATTTTGGATTTATGTCCTGTGGGTGAAACTAAATGAGCCCCAAAACCATAGAACTGCAAAATAATTGATTTAATAAAAAGTATATATCCAAACTCAGCGAAAACACAGGGACCAAGGACATGAACCGACATGGAATGACAATGATGGACGGATAAGGGTGGGGCAGGTAATCAGGAAACAGGAAGTACAAAAAGAAGACGGGGGTTATTAACAGATCACAAAATAAAACAGAAAATGAATCTAAACCATGACAATGTATCCACAACTAGGCCAAATATTTAGCCTGGTCGTACCACACCATCGTACAAATTTCATTTCGTACGAGGGTCTGGAGGTGCTTCATTGAGCTCCGGTAACAGGTGGGAGGGGTTAACTCTTTTTGCAGATTGAAACGATTGGATCTGAGTTTGACTTGTCTTGTTACCTCTGAAACCTCATCTCTAGTTTATGCTGCAGTTCTTCAAATAAATACCAAAGTGAGTGCGGCTTGTTCCGTCTCCTCCACACGTCATCGCAGCTTCACTAATGTTAGATATATTTAGGAGACGTGTCTTAGAACATGATCCGAGAGAGAGAAACAGATGCATCCGTCCATAATACACTACTATATACTATGGTCTTGTTTTGTGGTTCACGTGTGGAGACTGCATTTGTCCGGATTTATTTCAACTCGGTTTGTTTGTGATTCCTAAAAAACAGGAAATGAAAACTGGAAATGTGATATTAACAAACACGTAGGAGCCATTGGTCCAGAGGGAGCGGGATGACTAAGGTCCATAAATGTCCAAAGTGGAGAAAGATGTCTACTGCGAGGAGATGGAGGAGGCTCGGAGGAGTCTTGGGCGTGCCAGTGGCTGAGTGGTTGGCGTTCGCGCTTCTCAGCAACAAGGTCAGGTCCTGGGTTCGAGTCCCGGTCAGAACGGGGACTTTCTGGGTGAGGTTTGCATGCTCTCCTGACTATAAACAGTCCATAGACGGACGATGCTAACTCGCTAGCTCAACGAAGCCAAATAGGGAAGTGCTCATGCATGGAGTTTTATTCCAACTTGCTCTGGCTTCTATTGACTTACATTGAACAGTTAAACTTGAATCGCTCTCTGTGATTTTGTTGTTTATACTGTGATATTGTCCTTGTAAATTCAGAAGTTCAGGCAGAACAATTGACCCTTGGTAACTCTGCTGATAATCGCTACCACTAATATTTGCATAGATTTGGTTCCACATTTAGGGGTCGGTGCTTTTTGAATTAGTAGCAGCTCTGACTGCCATCCCGACCCAGAAATGAATTAAGGGGAAGAATATGAATGGATGGTTCCACATTCCCACTCAAATAGGCTGTTTGCAGCTTGTTCCGTATTTAGGCTAACAGTATAGTCACTGCCTATCTCATCCAAACCGTGTTATCTTTTTTTTTCTTCAAAACTTAGTATAAAACCAAGAAAAACAAAATTCAACCCTGGATGCAGTGAGATATCAACACCATCCAGTCTAGTTTTTGTAGAATGAGCCTTATGTGTGAATTAGTTTGACTGAGCTTTATACTCCAAAGAGCATTGAAGAAAACGGAACAGAAAGTTCCATTGAAGTTTTGATTTCATCTTTATATTCTTTCTTGATGAGATTTCATTTCCTCTGTACCTCAGGACTTTCAAAAGGAAGTGTGGCTAGCCTTGTCAGAAGTGTGACCATGACATTTCTTTCATGGTATGAAAGAAATGTCATACATGGAATGAGAAATTCTATTGCAAACTGACCATCCATCCAACCATTTTTATTCTCAGGGGCAGCGGTCTGAGCACAGTCAAAATGTGCACAAATCAAATCAAATCAAATCAAATTTTATTTGTATAGCGCCCAACAACAGCCAGAAGGTGCCCAGGGCGCTTTCCAGGATAAAAACAAGAATCACAATAGACACCGATAAAAACAAACACATAAAAAGAACAGCAGTCGAGTCAGTGATTATGCATTGAATGCTTTCCTGAAAAGATGTGTCTTCAACTGTGATTTAAAAACACTCAACTCAGTGTTGTTTCGAAGCTGTACAGGAAGTGCGTTCCACAGCTTTGGGCCTTGGGCAGCAAATGAACGGCCTCCAAACTTTTTGTAATTGAATTTGGGAGTGACGAGGGAGGTGTGTTCAGAGGAGCGCAGAGCTCTGGCTGGTTTGTAGACCGTTACTAGTTCGGCGAGGTAGGCCGGGGCCAGACCATTGATAGCCTTGAACACAAACATCAGGACCTTAAACTC